AAATGACAACCTTTTAAATATAGGCGTTAAAAGTATGTTTCTATTTTACTTGAAATATACCATGAGTAATCGTACCACTGTTTGTCATAACGTACTTTTTTAAATTCCTAAAATATATTAGAAGCCTACACAGTAAGAAGGATTAGTATAAATAATATGAAAAAGACAAGATGGGTCCAGTACTAACTACTACATAGCCCATTCATCACTTCTTTCGTCGACCTTTACTTTTCTCTACCACGAAAGCTCCTATGGTTTTAGAATCTGGACTAGGTCGTGGTACAAACATTTACTTGTACATACCAAAATGAACATAAAGTAATTAAGAGCTTCCGCTGCCATCTTAAATCATAGAAGCTACTTAAAATGAACTTCACTATTTCTTTGTCACCGCATCAAACTAACCTGGGCATTCTGAAGCCTGGTGATCACTAGCTTAGATATTACTAGCTTAGATATACTAGCGGCACACCTCAATTTATTGAAAAAGTATGGTAGCTGTCTATTTAAGGAGTACCCTGGGCTATTTCTCTTCTCAGAATTATTATTATTATTGCAGTTCAGAATCGAACCGGAGGGTTAGGCCTCGGGTTCGATTCTGGACTGCAATAACTGTAATCTAAATCGATCTACTAATAATAACGATTTGTTTTGTTAATATTTGAGGATGGAACGGAACAGTAACAACAATTGGAGCATGTGAACGGTAAGTACCTACCTAAACTCATGGAGAATGGTAGGTAAGTGTAGCTATCATACCTTTAAACACCTCTTGTATTTCGAAATATGGTATATTGGGTTTTCTTGGGATTGGATTAGTCAGTTTTAATGTATGTGACGTCTTACTTATCTCCGGTCCATTGAACTTTCGTAATTAGGCTTTGAAACTGAAATTAATACTAGGCAACAAAACAGACCATAAGCTCTTGCAACAAACTACTTTTTTTATCCATCGCAGAAAGAATGCAGATTATGTATTTATATATTTAAAATAATAACATCACACAACTTACACTTCTAAAATATACATCCTTAAATACTACTACTATAAACATACTTAAATATTTCTAAATACATACACCCAGACACAGACAAAATTATCGTACTCATCACACAATTTATTTGTCCTTATTGGGAATCGAACCCGACCTCTGGCTTAGCAGTTAGGATAATAACAATTAGAATAGACTAGCAGCCCTGTCCCGTTCATTATTTACCTAGTTAACGCATCTATTTTCATGTGGATCATTTCTTTTGGTCTTTGCTGATATTACATAGTTCTCGTAAACTTGTCAGTTAACAAAAATTATTAGGTTTTTATCACAGTGCAACAATCAATAAAAAAGTAATCCTTGATTTTTAAATCATAAATGTGGCTGTTGTATGTGTGTGAGACTGACCAAATAAACTACTCCTATTCAAAAAAAATATAAAAAGAAAAGAAAAGAACTGCTACTTTTTTACGAGTTGAGTTACATAATATTAAAGCTCGTTCAAATAGTAACAAAATTAAGCGTTATCATTACCTAACCTATTATAAACTTAGAAGTAATCAACATAATATACACAATAATAGTAAGAAAATAAAATGCTTTAGTAAAAGAGCACTGTGCTCAAACTTGCAGTATTCAATAGAAGGACAAATAGCTGCATGGACGTTTCATTAGGTCTTAAATGGGTCTAATGAAAATGTCTTTTCTTCTCTTCTTGTCCACGATTCTATGACATCTTCGGCGAAACTTAATATTTTGTTTGACCAATTACAGATGATTGCGTTTATGTGTATGCACACGTCATTTATTACAGATAAATGACGTGTGTAAGTCTGTGCGAAAATTAGAATCCTGTCAAGAACTTGAAAAGAAAACTGGCAGACTACATTCTATAAACGGATTTTTTTCTTACATAAATCCAAATCAAGGTTATTAAAAGCGATGCGATAAGTAGGTGTTTGTAAAGTATTTGAGTAGGTGATTTTATTTTTGAAGAGATATAACCGACTAGCTTTTTTTTGCCCTCGTGTCTGTCGGTTATCAAGCCTATGTACTTTCTCAAGAATCAAACTATCTCCATACCGAATTTTATCTCAATCGGTTCAGCGGTTATAGATTTCCTATATAAACTTCAACCCCTTTTTTGACCCCCTTAAAGAAAGATTTCTGGAATAAGAACTATCCTATGTCCTGTCCCGGGACTCAAAATATCTTTATAAACAATTTCATCTAAATCGGTTCAGCTGTTTAAACATGAAGAGGTGACAGACAGATAGACACACCTTGGCATTTATAATATTTGTAAAGATATAACTTTTGAAGAGAGAAAAGATTGAAGCAAATTCATTTCTGTACTTTTATTAAAATAAGTTAAGTTTGTGAAAATGTGTCTTGGTTACTTGAATAAATAAATTATAATAATATGTTGCAAAGTGTTGTTATTATTATTGCCAAGTAGTTCGTCTTACTAGATTAGTTTTTTTATATTTCCCAAGACCAGGATGGTTGGCGATATTTGGGTAAGGTCTTAGTTCAGCAGTGGACGGCAATAGGCTAAGGAGAGATAAGATTAGTTTTAATTGTATGCCCACCTACATATTGGTGGTAGGTATGGTCCGCTAAAGTCTCACAAACTTTAGCGGTAAAAACAAAAGATTTTAACCGCTAAAGTTTGTGAGAATGGGTAAATAAATAGGTGTATGTTTTGTTTTTATCTTTTAAACTAGGTATTTTGTCTGTGTACCTATGTACGTCCGTGTGGTGACGGATTAAGAATACAGATTGTCACCACCCCTATTCATCCCGTGGGTGTTGTAAGAGTCAACTAAGGGAAAAAACTACGCAGAACAACAACACTGCAGAGAGAAGGAAAACTTGACACATACCCTATACCAACCCGTCTGGCCAGCATGGTATAGTAGGCCAAAACCTCCTTTCTAAGGAGAGGCTTATGTCCAGCAGTGGACTATTAAAGGCTGTTGATGATGATGATGATGATGATGTACCTATGTAACAATGTGGTTCCAATAAATTCAATTTCAGTTTTGAAATAAGCGGGACTAGCGTAATCCGAAACAAGTATCTTTTGCATTAATAACTATGTACTTATATCTGTGGTTAGTTCAATGTGATATAATTATCTTGTGTCGTACTGAAATAGCTCTTGAATGTATTGCGTTATAATAGAGAATCTAGTAAAATATATTTTATTAATACATTTGGGCTCTTCAACGCATTGTTTTATCACTAACTCTTACCGAAATTGCTTCAGTCAATTTTTTTTGTGAAAGCCTTTAAGTGGTTGTAGTAACAGGTGCCCGACATATATGTAGGTGAACCTGTTGGGAATGGAAAACCGGAGAACTCCATTGTTTGATATGGTGAGTTCCGTATAATAAAATAAAAAAAAGTTGATTGTTGCAACTAAGCAATTATTGCATCATCTGCTGGAAATTACAATGATAAATCCTTAATAGAATGCATGAAAAGAGATATTGGTATAAAAAATATTTATGACCTAAAACTAGTTTCGGTCTAGATAGTGAGTCGTAATGTTTTTGTACTGGGTACTGTACTGGAAGGTGTTGTAATTATTATTTGTAAATAATTTATAAAAAAGCCTTAATTCATAATAGTACGAGTACATTATTTTGTGAGATTGTGCCTATAGCGAAAATGAACAATATGTTTTGATTTTGAATTGAAACTTAGATTAAAATGTTGTTAGTTTAAGTGTCTTAAATAACATTTTGATATTACAGAGGAGAGCAAAAGTGGAAACACTGAGTCAAAAACAGTAGTGCGCGCTCATGGACTATGTCCGTAGGAATGCATGGACCATCCCGTTCGTCGCTGTCTACAGGAGCCACAAGATGGAGAGCTCCTTGCCTCGACAACCCTAGTAACGAAGGAAGGTTCTGGTTGATAGCCAGTGTAGGAGGGAGAAGATATGTCCTCTGGAAACAATATCTGCGTCTTGGTAAACATTGAGATTGGAGGATTGAGTCGAAATCGAATTAGTTTCTGGAAAGAGTTGTAAATTACCGAGTTTGGATAATCAATTGAACCATTATTTAATTCCGACAAATATCATAGCAAAGTACGATGCTAAGCAGAATTTGTTGAATATCAAATTAAAAAGAAAATATTTAATATGACACAAAAATAACTCCAAAACTTACAGAAAAGGTGACAGAAAGGTGAGGTGTAATAATAATATTTTCACACATCTCACACACGGCTGTCTGATCCCAAACTAGGCAGAGCCTGTACTATGGTAACCAGACCGCTGATAAACATACTTATATATTTCTAAATGCATACATATTATAGATAAATTACACCCAGACACAGAACAAGCGATCGTGCTCATCACACAATTATTTGTCCTGGGTGGGAATCGAACCCACGACCTCTGGCGTAGCAGTCAGGGTCACTAATAAAAATCAAATTGGAAAATCAAATTTCAAAACGTTTAAATGAATGGTCCCTTGAAGTTATTGAGGAACTTTCACCTAATGCTAAGATTTAAAAGGATAATAAGGTATATCTTATTCATAAAAATAACACGAAAATGTATTATAATTGAATAAATTCAAACCTTGTAAATAGTATGTAAGTTGGGTATATTTAAGTTAGTTTATTTTAGTTTACATTTGTAATAACCATGTATCTACTTTTAGTTTTTTTTTTATCTTTTCCTTTGGAAGGGAAAGGATAACCCAATCTTTTCAGGGGAGTTGTAGTATACGACGTAGTAAATACCTTACGGATATTATAATAAAGTCATGTTGCAATAAATTCCATTTAAAGCGAAAAATTTTGCTAAGTGCAACTTAGCATAATTACAAGAATGACTGTAGCGTTTTAAACCAATGTTTTTTATACACTCAATAAATGGACTTTTAAGCTAAAAGACATGTTTAATTTTCATCATCCTGGCAGAACATATTACAATAGTAAGGGATTGCAGCTTTTTGAATTTGCAAGTTTAAACGTTTGCAAATTTTAATTATTATATATGAGACAAGGTCTTTTTTTCGGGTTGTATGATTTAACATATTGTGTATCACTAATTATTTTATAGTCGTAATCCCGAAAGTTTAAGAAGTCTTCTAGTAAATTCATTTCGTTGAAGACGCTCATAGATGGAAGAACTGGAAGCATTCGCGCAATTCCTGCCTCTTTGTGCAATCCATTTAAATATTCGCTCTGGAACAAAAGTAATAATGTTAAGTAAATATAGATTTAGAGATGCAAATTATAGTTACTAAAATATCTATGATAGTTTACTAAAAAGCCGTTTTTTTTGCAATATATTAGTAATAATAATAGATTTATTTCCAAAATAATTATACATAGAAATTTACAGTACATGTTAGTTACATGACAATTTTAGTCGTCGGTAAGACCGAAATATCCATGTTCATTTAGTGAAAAACCCTGCCTTTTAAACTAGGTGACACCTGTATCTTAAAAAACAGTGTTCGGCCATACATTTATACAATATTAGATAAAACTTTTCTAATTTAGAGCAGCATGAATGCTTTGTGTATTTATATAAGACTAGCTGACCCTGCAAACGTTGTTTTGCTATTTACATTATTTTTTTTTCATTTTTTTTTTGAATTTCGTAAAATCCGTTCTTAGCTGACCTGTACTCGGTGAAAAGAATATTCCTACCAAATTTCAAGTCTTTAGCTCTAATGGTTCCAGAGATATCGTGATGAGTGACTATATACGTGGAAATCTTTCATACTCGTATATATAAAGATAGATTAAGCTGTTATGCATGGTATATGGTACTATGACATATGGTATATGAATGAGAGTGTGTGTGTGTGTTTGCTTGCGCGCGCGTGTGTGTGTGTATGTATGAGTGTGTGCGTGCTTGTGTGTGTGTGTGTGCGTGCGCGTTCGTGGGTGAAAGTATTTGGGTTTAATTTGTAGTTTTATGCGATGTAAGTAAGCAATGACTCTGTACTGAAGTATTCTTGTTTTAGTAGCCATTCAGTCAAGACGAGCTTTAATGTGTGTATGTTCATTTCGAGTGTATATTGAGTTCTTTATGTATTTTTTTGTAAATGTGCGTGCTTAGTACATAATATTGTACCACTATTCACGATCATCAGATATTAATCTATGTAATTAATTAGGCCTATGTCCAGCAGTGGACTGTTAAAGGTTGTTGATGTTGAAGTGTAATTAATAAGTGTACTTTGCGTGCTTAGATTTTATAAATGCATGCTTGTAGTCTTATCATCGGGAGTAAGAGAGAAGTTGTATGTTCTGCTTGAACAGATTGAATCGAAAGTTTTAACGCGACAGGAACGAGCAACCTAGTAAGGTGGGAAAAAGCTTCAGAAAAAGCTTTTACGATGTGCAGTGCGAAAATAGGTACAGCCAGGAACTTACTGGCAGGATGAAAGGCGCTATTAGACTGGGGTCATTATTCACGTCGCCATGATAGGGTATTACAAATCATACGCGAAGCTATAAGTTTATCACTGGCGAGAGCGAAAAAAGGAATGACAACAAACATAAGAACTAACATCGAGTTTGTAAAGGAAAGCCGTACTAAATTATAAATACCGCCTAGTGACTGGAAATTATTAGTAGACACGTATGAAAACCATAACAGAATACCAAATGATATCTGTGCCTCGGCGTCCAGACCAGACATATTTCTTTATGTAATTTCAATTAAGCATGTACTCGTAGTACTAGTAGAACTTACGGTGACGTGGGAAACGAACAACCCTAAAAACCACGCTTTAAAAAGAAACTAGAACTTTGAATTAACCAACGAAATAACTAAAAATAGTTATGTCGTTGCATTGTATGCCGTGGAAGTGGGTGCTAGGGATATACCAGCTAAATCTCTCTATAACCTGCTTAAAGACCTTGAATTCCCAAGAGCTTCAGTAAGCTCTTTTCTTGAACGAATATCCAAAGCGGCATTGCTAGGCTCGTATCAAATGTGGTTAGGTAGAGGGGGTAACACAGCAGACAGTGGAGGTGACGGCTGACGCGTTGAAAGGAGTACTCCCTAAACCTATTCCTGGATCGCAATTTCTAGGCACTGTGGAATCGCATGTGTTGCCTCTATCTATCACGCGATGGACCCCGCACGGTGAATCCATGGAATGCTAAGAAATAGGTCATAGTGTTTTAAAAGTTAGTATTATTGCGCCATAGGATTGAGTGGTTCTTGTGTTGTGTCTGGAGGACAGCGCATTCTAGCATCAAGTCGGGCACAACGCTACGCATTGAGATTATACTTCTTAATTCGGATACGTGCTTGCAGTGCCATCTAGTGTCGAATATCGGAAGATTATAGAAACTTCTAGATGTCTTTTTTGTACGTGGTTTTGTCTGGTAGATTCCATCGGATAATTGGGATTAGTCTAGTAATATCGATAGCACACAGTAACGTTTTACGACACAGCGAATTAACATCGAAGTGAATTTTTAGTGCGACGAACGTCCCATATAGTGATTTCTTGTTTGTTATAGTGAGTGTGTGTAAATACAGTGCAATAAAAGTAATTACCCGACAACTTTTATTTATTATTTACCCGCTTGTAACAGTATAAATCCTTTAAAAAAAAGGTTGAACCGACTTCAAAGCATACTGACAAAGAGCACTAATAATAGCAATATAATAGCAAGTTTGCAAACTTATCAACTACTTAATCATTGGAGATGTGTGTAGCACTTTAGCTCGTTCAGTATGTTTTATGCAGCAGGAAGACGGTTGCAGCTGCCGCGCTACATTCTACCAAGTACGAGTATATCAAACAAATATTTGGCTTGGCACCGACTTCAAACAGACTAGAAGGGACTATTGCTATTATAATGTTACCTGTTATATTGAGGGTATTTATTATAGTTTTTTTACTTAGATTTGTTATTATTTTTTAATTTTTAGAGCTCTTTGTCAGTATGGTTTGAAGTCGATTCAACTTTTTAAGGATTTATTTTACCATTTTTAGTGTAAGATATGTTTATTATGAGTAGATAAGTACGATATTTTAAACTGTAATGTGTAGTACCCAACTGTAGTAACCATGTTAGATTAGGTATATTAAATAAAGTTTAATAAGTCCGTTACTTTATTTAGATAAGGTAGTAAGATGTTACATTTGAACCCGAAAATATATTGTTTTCCACATTACTTAATTTTTCAAAGCTAGGAGTGGTATTTTTTCTTCACATTTAAATGGAACTCAAGAAGAAAAAAAATAGGAAAAAAATATATTTTTATAACAGTTCACAAAAGAAAGAGTTTTGAGGTAACAAACATGAAAATAATTGCGTAGCAAAAATGTTTTTTGTCTAAATGTTTTGAAGGTCAATACATGATTAGATTTTGAAAGAGTTATTTTGTAACTCCTAAAGGTCAAGGATCCTTCCATCATCACCTCAGCAACATAACATAACGACAACTAAACGCAAATGCCTATAAGGCTAGAGAAACAAGCTAAAATAGTTTGTCGGGACTGTAAAATTTGAGGGTTTCCCTCGATTCTCTAGGATCCCATCATCAGATCCTGATTTACGATTTACAAAAAGAATTTAAAAAATCGGTCCACAACTGACGGAGATATCGCGTAACAAACACACAAAAAAAAATACAGACGAATTGATAACCTCCTGGTTTGTGTTTTTGAAGTCGGTTAAAAATTGTAAATACATTTCACTTCAAAATAATATTATTACTTTTATTTGTCGTCTCCGTCTCTCACAGCGATATTATATAATAAAGGGCCACACTTATAATTAAGTAAACCAAAAGCTGTTCTTTTATCGTCGTTTTTAATGGTGTTTATTTGAATAAGGAGGGAACTTGACTTACCATATTCTCCACCCCAATAAGGTTGATATCCTTCATTTGGTGGTTTTTCTTTTTAATAGATTCTAAGTGATCGAGCCAATGGTGAAACATCTCTTCTTGTGAAGGCAGCTTGAACTTTCCTGCTACTAATGCTGCTGAATATTGAGCCTGTTCAACAAGCAGATAGTAATAACCATCAGATTGGGATGGTGGTCAGATTAAAGACTCATCTGTGTCTGGTGTTTATTTAACCTTAATTATTACACAACCTTAATTATAGGTTGATAGATGGGAATCCTATTAAATATAAGGAAAACTAAAATTGTGAATTCCTTTCTCATAAAATTTTCCATTAATAAGTCCTTTTTTTATTTTTATTTAAAAAAACAACTCCCGCATTGGGAATATATCCTGTGTCGCGGGAGACTTTAGAAACATACATACGGACACAAAGAACACGCAGACTCAGAACAACAATTTGTGGATCACACAAAGTGTCCTCCCATGTGGGGATCGGATCCACAACACTTAGCATGGTAGCAGTCAATATTTTATTTGGTTTCACTTCAGTCGAACCCGTAGACTAATTTTGTAAAGTAGCTCGATAGTGTCTATTGCACCGTTCAAACATTGATTGAATGCAATGTTCATTTTCTTGTATAAAGGAAGAAAATAAAATTTCTTTCAGTTGTAACTGTAGGTAGCATTATGAGTCGCATTGAATATAGCTTATTCACTTTCTTTGTTTACTCCAAGGCGGTCGATGGATTCCAGATTTGACAGGCGTATTGTGAATGGTTATGCATAAATTAATAGTAGAAGTAATAAACCCTGAATGACCGTTAGATTTCTGAATATTTTAGTGTACCTTTTTATTTCCTGAATTATAAATAATTGAAAACTTGCACATAACACTATGCACTAAATAATGTGAAAAAGGAAAGATGGATTAAGTACAAGGTGCATCTATCACTTCTTTAGTGCGATCTCAATAATATTGGCTGTTTAAAATTAAAACTAAGTAGAACTTCATTATATCACTGTCACCGCATCAAACTAACCTCGGCATCCCGAAGTCTGGTCATCACCAACTTAGATATTCCCACGAACAACATGGTGGGATGATTAATATTCACTATGTGTTGGTACAGAGGCATCAGGTACTTGTCAGTCGCCGTTATTCCGCTTGTTTTATGGTTCAGGAATGGATGCTTGTAGTTGTAACCTGAAGTTTGAGATACACCTCGTAAACGTTTACTTATTTAAAATGTATTAAAAAGTTTTAATCCTCGACTGACTGACGAATAAACTACTCGGTGTTGCAGTGCAAGCGTATGCGACTGCTGTGCTGAGGTCTCGTATTCCATTCTTGGGTCAGATCGAGTGTTTGTATGATCTGGAAATATTTGTTACGGAGTCACTTGTATTGGAGCATCATCACGGAGCTTGTACTATGAAAGCTAGATAGTGTGATGATTGTATGTTAGATGTCCGAAACATGTCTTATTATTATTCGTTGGTCGTATCAATAATAAGGAGGAGGAGGAGGGTCTTTAGAATTCAAAAGAGTTTTTAACTGTAGTCTTCTACTTAAGTTATTTGTTTTTTTTCTAAATGCATTCATTAAGTACTAATACAATTTAATTAGGTACCATCACAAACAGGTTTTGATAGGCAGATACAAGGTGTCTCAAAAGAAAGTTTATATTTATTTAGCTTACTGCGTGAACGCAACGAGTCCGAGGGGCGCGGGGGTTATGTCAATCGGTAGCCTGGCTCTTGGGAATTCAGTTGCTATGGAGCGTTTCTCGGGAGCAGACCGTACGTTGTGCGTGCGAGAGTTTTACAAAAACGGTGATTCGGCGACTGTAGCGCGTAGAAGGTTCTGTAGTGTTCGAGGTTTTCGCCTTTTAAATGATGCGCCAAGCATTCCTCTTATTCGAAAATGGGTCAAAAAGTTTGAAGAGACCGGTACAACGCTGGAAAAACCAAAATCCGGGCGACCAAGGTCATCAAGAACGGTAGAAAACGTGGAGAATGTTAATCAGTCTGTTCGTGACGACCCGAACCTTTCAATTCGGAAGCGCGCAAGTGCTTTAAATGTGCATAGACCATCATTACACCGCATTTTGCACAAAGACCTAAAGCTGCATCCCTACAAAATTCAATTGGTGCAAGAATTAAAGCCCCAAGATGCCAGTCAGAGGCTTGACTTCGTAAATCAGGCGATTGAGCGCTTTTCAACGTTTACCAACATTTTGTTTTCGGATGAAGCTCATTTTCATGTTAATGGACACGTAAATAAGCAGAATTGCCTAAAGTGAAAGTATGGGCTGCGATGTCGGCGCGAGGATTATCGGCCCTTACTTTTATGAAGACGAAAGGGGGCGTGCAGTTACAGTGAATTCAGAGCGTTATGTGATGTTAAACGACTTCTTGGCGCCTGAACTGCAAAACTTGCCTGGCCATAACTAAAGAACATGGTTCCAGCAGGACGGAGCAACGTCACACACGTCCAATACGTCTCTGCCACGAGTTCGTGAAATTTTCTCAGGAAAATTGATCTCCAGGAGAGGTGACATAAATTGGCCTCCACGCAGTCCTGATTTAAGCCCTATGGACTTTTTCCTATGGGGTTATCTTAAATCTAAAGGTTACGCGAATAAACCGACTTCCCTGGCGCTCACTGAGTCCACCTGCCGAGCCGTCATAAGTAATTTTACTGTTCGATTAAATGAGTGCCGCGAACGCGAGGGTCTACATTTGGAGGATATTATTTTTAAGAAATAAATGCCCAAATTGTGTACTTTAATCATTAATAAACATTTTTTCGATACACTGCTTACTTTTTTTTTAATCGATCTACTAAATATAAACTTTCTTTTGAGACACCTTGTACTATAGACGCATTACTGGACTAAGTGTAATTACACAATAAATGAAATACAGCTATTCCTATACTCCAATACAAACACCACAAGTGGTTTTGTATCGATTACCATTTTTATTTATAATATGGTGATTGGAAAAGTAAAAAAAAGAGGTTGAAAGTTTAAAAACCACATCACTCTTGGTCAGTTAGATTTAAATATAAGCCTCTGCGTCTTCTGGAGTACCCACTACTCAATTCTATACCCTTCACCATCAATAGGGTTATCTGGAACTTCTAGAACATAGTTTGTTTTTCTGCTTGTGGCTCGACACCATAGTTACTAATATAATACTTATACTTATATATAAAGTATATATTGTAACCTAAATTGCTGAAATAAATATATTTAGGTATTATTAACCGGTGTAATATGATAATTCAGTTGGTAGCGCCAAATAGTTACCTGTACAAAGTATGGCCACCTCAAATTCTTCAGTACTACCGTCTGTAAACACAGCACCCGTTGAAGTGAAATGGCGCAAGTCAGGTTTTTTCATGTATTGGCCACCGAAGTCAGGCTCGTTGTAAATAAGATGATGACTGTGGAAAAGCTTTGAGGACACGTTGACAAGATGTGCAGCGATGTCCAGACCTGATGGACCTCCACCTATGACTAGTACGCGTTGATCCCGGAAATCTTCAGGATCCTTGTAGTTATGACTGTGCATTAGTTTACCTAGAAAATAACAGTCACAGGATTCAATTATTAGACAATATGCGTACTTTCTTCAAAAATCTAATGGTACAAAAGTTACTTTATTTATTTGTAACGGTTTTTAACATTAAAGTTCATATTTACGGCTGCACTGCGGTTTCGATGGCTCGAACTTATCGGCAACACCCAGTTCCAGTTACAGGTATGGGTACTTACTCGACCTATTGGTAGTACTCGCCAAACCGTCCATATTTGCAATATCCATTTTCTCATTTTTCTTTTCATTATACTCCTATTTTTCATCTTTTTCTAAATATGGACGGTATGAAGGGCGGACGGACGGATGGACGGTAAGAGGCTTAACCCTATTACGTAAATGGGATTAAAACAATTAACAGCAACATACGGATGATAAATACACACCTTCGAGGAAATAGTCGTGAGTACCTATGTATGTTTGTAGCTGGGGTATTTCACCCAGTCTTATAATGCTGTCGTTCAATTTGCTCCGATTTTCAGCCTTACCATAGAAGAACATAAAATATAGTATACAGTTTTTTTGTAGTGTACCAATTTTTTGATTTACATGAAAATTTGATTGTATGGATTTGAGTACTGCGATATTAAGCTATACAGTTTGAATTAAAATAATCTCTTTTACGCTAGATAACAATTTCGTAATGTAATATTTATTTGTATATTTATTTGTAAAACTTAATGCAAGACGCAAGAACCCGCACCTCACCGTAAGTTAATAATCTAAATAAATTATACCATTGATTTGGGTTTGTTTTTTGGCTAAATATTTAGGAACGAAACAGTAACAATAAATGACGTTGATCAGCGGCTGGTATGTACTAAACTTTTATAGTGATATTTGTGTGTTTAGTTGCCTTACCTTTAAACGCCTCTTGTCCTTCAAAATGTGGTATATTGGGTGAGTTGAACTCTCCGCTTGCAACGACTACAAAATTACATTTTTCTGTAATATTCTTTCTGGTATCACTCTTCATGTATGTGACTTTCCATTTGTCTCCTGTCCATTTAACTTTCGTAATTAGGCTTCGAAACTGAAATTAAGGTTAGAAAAGAAAAAATATCAATAAAGAATGTTCCTTTTATTCATAGCAGAAAAAACCGTATGACTGCACGTCTTGTTATTATTAATAATATAATAACTATTTTACTTTAATTTTTAACCGACTTCAAAAAAAGGAGGAGGTTCTCAATTCGACTGTATTTTTTTTTTTTTTTTTTTTTTTGTATATTTGTTACGCGATTACTCCGGCAATTATAAACCGATTTGAATATTTCTTTCTTTATTTGGTAGGTCATACGTCAGAGGTGGTCCCATTGTCACCAGGTCAGGATCTGATGATGGGATCCTGGGGAAATCGAGGGAAACCCTCAAATTTTGTAGGCATATACACTGTTTATCAGAAATTATCTTAATCTATGTAGATTTTTGCATCTAATGGTCACCATCTGATGTTGCTGAGCTGATGATAAAGCTGATGATGAATGGTTTAGGAGTATGGGATCTCTGTAACAAAATTATGTAATACCATCGAATTTGAATGTGTTTGAGTCTAATTAATAAGGACTCCGATCCTATGTGATATTCAGGGTCTGATGATGGAGACGGTAAATAGCCATGGGAACTCTGTAATAAAATAAAGCAATTCCGCCGTGTTTGTGCTCATTTGATTCGTCTCGACTAGGAGCTTCATGCTAGTCGATTTTTAACCAACATCAAAAAAGAAGGGTTTTTGATTCGACAGTATGTTTTCTTTTTAACCGACTTCCAAAACACAAAAGAGGAGGTTCTCAATTCGTCTGTTTTTTTTTTTTATGTATGTTTGTTACGCGATTTCTTCGTCAATTGTGGACCGATTTTCAAAATTCTTTTTGTAGTCGAAAGGGTATGCTCGGCATAATTGCTCCCGAATTGGTCCCATTACCACCAATTCAGGATCTGATAATGGGATCCTAGAGAAATCGAGTGAAACCCTCACAATTATTGGGAATTTGACAGCCCGGACAACGTGTTTTAGCTACGAGTATTTCTTTAGCCAAACAAACCATGGCAACTGTCAGAGACTGCGCGATGTGATGCGCAGAGAACTTGCAGTATTTATGTCACCACAGTAATTTTCGTTGTATTAAGAAGAAAAGGTTGAAATTTTGTATTCTATCTTGTTAAAATAATTCGGATAGACGTTTAGTTGCTATGGATGGCATCGCATTTCGTTTGTAAGTAATTTTATACTTAATTTATTAAAATAGTTCTAAAAAAAAATCTTAAATTTTGGGTGGGTCAACTAGGTTAATTTCTAACATACTAGTATTAACCCTTCTAGTTGGAACTCCTTCTATAAAATATTGAGCATATTTGTTGAGTAGTCTCACTAAAGCTTCCCTATCTTCACCTTCGAGATCAGTGTCAATTGAATCGGAAGTTATTTTGTTCGGTTGCAACTCACAAGAATTTGACTGTTTCTTAGAAAAGAATTTAAGCTGATCTTGATCAGTTTGGACGCCAATGTCATTTTCATATCCTACACTAAAAATGGTAAAATAAACCCTTTTTAAAAAAAAAGTTGAACCGACTTCAAAAAACACCGACAAAGAGCACTAAAAATTAAAAAATAATTACAAATCTAAGTAAAAAACTATAATAAGTACCCTCAATGTAACAGGTAACATTATAATACCAATAGTCCCTTCTAGTCTGTTTGAAGTCGATGCCAAGCTCGATGTACAATAAGTAATACTGGTCTATGTCAGCTTTATATTAGCACAATGAAAAATTAATTCAAAATAATTCGAATGAAACATCGAAGATTTTGTTAATTAATAAAGACCAACCAGATCAATTACGTGCGCAAACTTATCAACTACTTATTAAAGAATTCAAAATAATAATCTAATTGGAGATGTGCGTCCACTTTAGCTCGTTCATCATGTTTTGCGCAGCATGAAGACTGTTGCAGCTGCCGCGCTACATTCTACCATGCCTATCAAGCACCTATTTGGCTTGGCACCGACTTCAAACAGACTAGAAGGGACTATTGGTATTATAATGTTACCTGTTACATTGAGGGTACTTATTATAGTTTTTTACTTAGATTTGTAATTATTTTTTAATTTTTAGTGCTCTTTGTCGGTGTTTTTTGAAGTCGGTTCAACTTTTTTTTTAAAAAGGGTTTTACTTATATATTATTATACAATCACTTTTTTTAATTTTGGTGCATTCCTTACTTTATATAATACATTCTTCTATCATATTCTTATAGAAATTCTTGGTAAAACTTGTTTTTTTTTTCTGTGGGGTACAAAACTCTATTCGAGATTAATCGATCGAGTAAAAGATATTTTTTTTTTTTTTTTTTTATGTTAGAGGGGGCAGACGAGCAGACGGGTCACCTGATGGAAAGTGACTATCGCCGCCCATGAACGTCTGCAACTCAGGAGTCACAAACGCGTTGCCGGCCTTTTAGGAAGGAGTACGCTCTTTTCTTGAAGGTTTGAAGGTCGTATCGGTCCGGAAATACCGCAGACAATAACCCGTTCCACAGATGGGTTGTGCGGGGCAAGAAGTGTCTCGAAAAGCGCAAAGTAGTGGAGCGCCAACTATCCAGGTAACGAGGATGAAGATTTTGCCGTGTGGAACGATGGCGGAAATTTGCGGCTGGTATTAGTCCGAACAATTCCTCGGAGCACTCTCCATGATATGTGCGATATATAGAGAATGAAAAGTGAAGCCACATTTCTACGTAACGCCAAGGGATCGAGCCGATCGGAGATGTTTGAGCTATCAACGATGATGTTTGGGCTATTGATTTACCGTATCCTTTTGATGCAAACAAAAGTACAACTTTTGTTTGCATCAAAAGGATGAGTCTGAAAAAGTGACTTAAAACAAAAACATGTCTGTTTTATAAGCCAGATTATAAAATATTAATCTTTAATTATAAAATAAGGCAATGTGTCTGTTCTATGAGATCTGTCATTCTCATTGGCCCCAATTTTTGGATGTCCGGTTAAATATCTCGTTACACGGCTACCTTGAGGACGTTTGGTCTTAATTCTAATATATGTAAAAGCCTGTGGCACCAATAATTATTAGTCAATATTTTTTCAAAAGTTCTTTTCCTAATTCCATTTCTTCCATTTATACAGTTTATACAGGTGTTCAGTTCAAATTGTTGTTATTTTTTTATAAGCAAGAAGCAATATCTATCTTCGAAAATATATCAACTCTAATTAGGTATAATGGAAAATGGATGGTAAGGAAAGGAAAGTGAATGAATCACTTTCCTTTACCCAGAATTAATAATTAAAGGACTAAAAGTTTTAAAATGAACAATTATACCTAATTAGAGTTAATATATTTTCTAAGATAGATACTGTAGCTTGCTTATAAAAAAATAACAACAATTTAAAATGGGTAATTACAAAGAAATTAAGTTTAATGTATGTGTCCTGTCACGAATTATTTTCGTTACGGTTTTCAAAATGGAGGTCTTCACAGACTAGTCTATCGTGCCACCGGTAGCATTAGCTGTGCCGCGGTTGTCAAGCAGAGAACACCTGTATAAATTGTCCTGCTGGTGAACTACGAAGGTAAGTACCTAATAGTAATAATAGTAATTCGTGTAACTCACCGCGACTATAATTTGCGTTTGTGTGTTACACCTTTTTTGCTAATGCTAATTAAATCATTGATAAATATCACATTTTACGTAATAGACCAGTACTATCATTTACCTATGAATCAATAATGCGTAGGGTTTATAGTATTTTCATTCAAATCCAGATTCTTCGTTTCCCTAATTTATGTCACCTAATTTTCATCACGATAGTAAGGGACGATAAATAAAATGTTCAAAATTTAATCATGTAATGAACTAAAATTAGGTTAAAAGCCAGTATTTTTCAAGTATCATAAAAAGAAGAAGAAATAATATAAAAAAAAGGGGTTTGTAAAAATATGTACCTATGTTTGTGTGTAAATAAAAAAGCAAGTTTTGTAGCAAGTAATAGCAGACTTAAAATTTAGAAAATCATAGTTATTTGGAGGATCCATTACTTTTCTATTTGAACAAAACTTATAAATTATAAATTGTATATTATACATATATTAACTTACTTGTAACCAAACTCACTATTATTGTTATTACATTTCATATTACGATTCGGCCTGATAAATTGTCACAATGTCCGACACGCTTAGACTGTTTAGATAGCCTTTGATGCTTATATAAAATATGAATATAATATGTTTATTTACTATATTTTAATAGCATGGCAACAATGAAGAAATTTTGGAGCATTAAAAGGGAAGGCAGCGTCGGAAAAAATTGCGAAAAATTAAAAGTCGATCTCATTAAATAAATCTTCAGTAAGAATATTTTTTCCCTTAAAAGAATATTATAAGATTATTATCACTTTGTAAGGTGTAAGCAGATAGCAAAATATTCCTTAAAGCTTAAAGTATTAAACTTTAATATAATTATATGTTATGTTTCTAATTTGTAATTAATAAGAATAAGAATACATTTGGACGACTCTTGAAACAAATAAACCAATTTTCGTCAATAAATCTAATTTTCGTCACGCCCAAAAAAGTAATAAGCTGGTAGTTCATCTATCTGTGGTTAGTCTAAAGGAACAGACTTATCTTGGTTAATTAAGTTTTAACTAATTAATTGCTTGTAATACTGTCTAGGATGTTTATGATAGTAATGATATTAAACTACTTTTAAATACAAACATGTTAGCTATATAAATCAAGGGCTTGCTAAAAGTACTGCGTTTTATAACAGATAACTTAGTGAAATAATTTTTTTAAATAAATACTAACTCACCTGAATATTTTTGAATAAGTCAAATTTTTTTGCGAAAGCCTTCAAGTACTCATAGTAACAGGTGCCAGTCACATATGAAGCTGAGCCTTCTGGAAACGGAAAGCCAGAGAACTCCATTGTTTGATATGGGGAGTTGATTCTGCAAAGCAACATGGGTAAGTATATGTATATAGCTTAGGAATATAAATTTTTATAGTCCTTGTCTATAGAATATTACATTTATAAATACTTAAAAAGATCCTATAGTTTCTTAGTGTTTGAACTGGGCATATATACGAGTATTACAATACTCGTATGTATTTCGCTTAAAGTATGAGGCATATCGAGTTGATAAATAAGAATTTATCAAATCAATACGTCTCATACTATGTGTTTATGTCAATCACAGACTCCACCAATAAGAAAAAGGTTCTAAAACTAACCTTAGGTTCTTATATTGGCTTGTAAATAAAGGCAATCCATCTTCATCAGTCCCAACGTTGGGATCTAACCTCCAGGTTCCTCCTATGTAACGAGTGGCCTCGAACACTTTAAAGTTGAGGCCATAGTCCTTCATGTACCGAGCCGTGGCCAGGCCCGAGTATCCAGCACCGATGATACATACTTGAGAGGCTTGAGGAGACTGGAGGAAAATAAAGTACTATTGTGGTACTTATCGCAAAGATAGGGACTATTTAGACCTACAAGTGAACTTTGGCGATATGACATTTATCTATTGCCCACAATCACAAGTGAGTTGATGCCCTTTGAGTCAACCCCAGAATCAGTTGGAGGGGAGGGGGTATATTCTCCGGAAGCCTCACTCACTCGGTGAAGAGCAACGAAAGAACTGCTTTACACCGGTTTTGTGTGAGACCTTGGTATCCCCTCGACCGAACCGGCCGACGTGTTAGTCTGTAACGTCAACTGCTAAATTTTCACTCAGTATCAATTCATTATACATGAACCTTGTTACACTAATCGTAATCCCAATTTTATGTAGATAGATAGGGCTAGATGCAATGTGAATGTAGATATATAGTGTTGCACACCATTGTTGCAAACATACAATGTAGAATACAAATATATCTTATATATGTATTTTTCAACGATTTTTACCTTTTATTCTATTCACTAGCGTGCTGCTCACCTATTTTCACCACTTTATTTCCTACGTTGTGAGTGATACAACACAGGACAAAAAAAGACTGAAAAAAATAATTTTACGCTAGCGAAGTGCTGAATTGCTGTTTAAACGATTCAGCGCTTGGATCGAGGCTCTTCCTCCTTTCTTGAAGTCATTCACCATAATAAAAAAAGTGGTTAAAAGTAAAGGCCTACCTTTGTGAACACGTCTGAAATTTCCAAAAATACACTCAACAAAAATACACTTGTTCTAAACGATTTATGGGTCATGATAGTGAAAAAAAAACAGAAGTTATAGTAGGATAAAAAGGTATTAACTGGCGACTAGCCGTCACTCTTGATGGAGAGTTAGCACATACTACGATCAAACGGAGTGTGGATCTTCACGGAATAATCTAAGGTCAAATAACTTAATATCATAATAAATACATAACATCCATCATCATATTCAACATTAAATTTATATTAAGCACTAGCGATTCGCTCCGGTTTCGCATGGGTGCAATGTAGATGCTACTAATGTGGTGTCAGTGTGGAGTATTTAATTATACTATTATCTCCTTCTCTGTCCAAGCAGTTCGATTGTGGAACACCCTACCGGTCGCAATCAGACGGGCACAATCACTTGCCTCCTTTAAGAAACAAGGGAAAGAGTACTACCTGGAAGACGGCAATGTCAATTAACTTCTACTAAGTCGACAAAGTCACACTTTTTCTTATAATATATTTATTTATAACTTATAAATCGTCGTATCTAATTACATGTATCTAATAACACCATATATTCCCTCTAGTATGTTATATATTCACCTAAGGCCAACAAATAGATATTATGTGTAATTATCACTTTTTATAGTTATGTATATACTACTTTGATTTCTTCTTCTTATTCTTATTCTTCTTTCCTAACACACCAGCAACTACCCAATACCTCCTCCTCTTCATGTTTTCTCTCCATACCACGGTTGCCTGTAAGAGATTGCCTCTGGGCGATAAGGCCGCCACTTGTACTGAACTAGTTTAAGGTAATTATGTATATTTATATCTGGTGTACAATAAAGTGATATATTATTATTATTCTATTTATTTATTTTTTATACATATTATTTACATTTTTAACATACACTTTATAAAAAATTATAAAAAAATACATTTAAAAATATAAAAAATAGTAGACCACCGACATCGGGTACAGGGACCAAGACACCGGTGGTTAGGACTCCAAAGATAGGAACCTCCTCACTATACGGGCCGTGTCAAGGAGGACTGCCTTCTGCATCAGACCCTTGATCCAGCCGTCCAACGTGAGCCTCTTAAGGTATTGGTCGAGGATCTTGGCTATCAATCCGTGAACAGATAAGACTATCGGAACAATGATCACTGACATTCCACATATCGACAATCTCGTGACATCAATCCAAATATTTGATTTGTTTTTCTTTTTCAACTTTCATGAGATGAGATGAGGAACGGCGATATCAACAATCATTGCGCCGCGCTCTAATCGATCTATCACCACAATATCACTAGTCAACAATAGTCCTGTCTGTCATAATAGATCGATCCCAATACAACGTGGCCCAACCATTCTCGAGAACTGGGTCGGGCACATACCTGTAGTGTGGCACCTCTAGATTCACAAGATGGTATTTAAGAGCAAGCTGTTGGTGTACGATCCTGGCTACTTGGTTGTGCTTGTGCAAATATTCGCCGTTAACAAGATGAGAACAACCAGAAATAATATGCCTGATTGATTCGCCAGGACGGTGGCATGCCCGACAGATGTCAACCGTACCATCAGGATATATTTCCGATAGTTATTCGTCATGATAACTTCGTCCATAATCGCACAAACAAAACCTTCAGTCTCTCCGAAGAGATCACCATACCGTAGCCAAGTCGTAGATGCTTTTAAATCTATATTGGAGACGTTTAGGGCCAGATAAAACCGACCATGGAGCTCTTTGCCCTTCCATACTTCCCTGCGATCATTAACACTAAGTACTACAGGTCTGCGCCAATTCTCTTTAGCCAGAGCGAGCGGGGTGAATCCGGTATCCACTGCAACTACATTGCGATGCACTCCCACATCAGTATGTAGAAAATATTCTCTGAGATTGCATATCTCGCGATTATGTAGGGTCTTGATATTTAATAGTCCGCGACCCCCAAGCTTTCGCGGGATATACAATCTCATTATTGTTATTATGATAGGACTATACTACAGGACATCTTTAAATGCAATATTTATAGGCCCACCCTGGTCCTGCCGGCCGCTGCTACCCGGGACGGACGTTGGGCCCCTCATTTTAAACCGCTAAAATCTTCTAAAATATTCATTTTAATGATATGCTGTACACAGCAATTTCAATTTACATTAAATGCGTATCTAACGTATTTAATTGGATTTAGAATAATAATGTATTGTTTAAAATAGTTTCGTAGTTTTAAAGATGAAAATGGTAACTGTGGGTTATCCATAGACATATCCATAGACATTACTATCGCGGACTTTTTTGAAGATCTTTTTAATAATAAATACAATTCCGTTTTACATTATTTTGTTCTATCTCGTAAGATGTAGGCAGCGTTTGCAATGTAAGCGCAAATAAACATGTTTTTTACAACAAATCTTTGAAATTCTTGAATTTTCTCTATTATAATATGCATTACATGCATATCTTTATCACGACTTTCTATTTTCCGTCCAAATTATAACAGATTAATCTTTAGTAAAATTAATGAGAAACCCGCATTTTAGTTTTGTATCACATGGTGCAAAAAATTGAGTAATTATAGAAAGTTGTATCAAGAACTCGCAATTTGTAGACACACTGCACTCGGTAAGCGCGCAAGTTTCAATGACCTTTTCATCGGTATCGAAACTTCCCTACATTTCATTGATAAAATAAGTACCTAACATAACATCCAAATACTAAAACTTTACTTAATTAAGGGGCACGTTTGATGTAAAAACATAAATCTTTAGTGATATGTATAGTAATTAGTAAGAAAACCAATTAGGGGTTAACTTACCACTACTGTTTTACACGTATTTTAATAAATGTTCAAAATGTAGTCCGTTTGTCTCTAAGCAAAGCCCAGTTCGTTTTTCTTTTAACTTTGGAAGTACTAAAGTTTCGCTCGCACTATTTGCATTTTCAAGTTCGCAAGGCTCTGGACCTTTTTAATTCAGCCCACAAATAAAAGTCATATAGTGATAATCTGGTGATCGAGGCGGCCAGCGGTTACCGTATTTTGTATTTAGATAGTCACGAACAGTGGCGGCGTAATGTGGTGGGTATCGGTAATCGTGTTGGTAATCAAAATTCCTATAATAAAGAAGGAGCATGTCGTCCATGAACTCCTTCACAACCCCACTCAATATATCAAGGTAGGTGCTACCGGTCAGCCTGCCTTCAATGAAGTATGTACTCCAATATTTTATCGCCAGCCCACACGTTTGCGCTTAAGTGAACTTGATGGTGATCTTGTCTAACGACGTGTGGGTTGTGAAATGTGAACCAATGTTGGTTGTACAAACCCACACGAGTAAACAAGGCCTCGTCTGTCCACAAAATATTGGCAGTGTGCAATAAGCCACTCGCAAAATTGTCGACGAGGTAAGGCGTCTGTTTCATGTAAGGCTTGGACTTTTTAATAACGGTAAGGGTGTAAGCTAGCAGTGTTTATCAGCTTCCATACTGCGTATTGGCTAACGCGGTTGCGTTGCGGCCCGTGTGCTTGCCCGAAGATCCCATTCAAAGAAGTCGCAGATTTTTTCTTCGACCTCTATTGCAAGTCTTGACCTTACAGTATCCCTCGCGTGTGATGGGTTCTAGCTGTCCGTAGTCTAACAGCCTCTGATTGGCAGATAAAATCATTTGGCGGTTAGGCACCGATGGATTTAGTATACCTTGTCTTGTTTTCTGTACAACATTTAGGCTTTCACCACTACCAATGTAACAACGCACCATTTTGTAATATTCGCGAGTAGAAAACATTGCTTGCACTGTCGATGTCATAGAAGAATGAGCGGTAAACACAAAGGATGCATCGACGCGACAAGACGCGACCGAAAGACCTTTTTTTTTTTTTAATGGGACTAATCCCTACCACACGCCCACCAATTTAACTCCTGTACACTATGATAAACAGCAGTGACCCACGAACACACCGAGTTGTGACTCTTGGGAAGTAACAGGAATAAATAAAAATGTCTTGGAATCCGCAACGAAATTAGTCAAAAGAAAATTGGAATAGTTGGAAATATAATGCATCCACTTGCCTCCTTAGCAAATTAGAAAACAAAATGAAGTAAAGTAGGCATACACCCTTTTAAACAGGGTATTATTATTATTTCGAGATTATGGGTCCTAAGTGAGCTATATTTTATTTCTATAATATGTAGGGCAGAATCGCCTAAACACACGGAAATTGACACAAGATCACCATAGTATACCGCCCCGGATGTCACCTGTAAGCTATTCAGCAGTATATTACGTTCATTATACCAAAGACTACATTCTCAGAGGATATGATGAGTAGACTGTTCACAGTTAGAGTTAGGTGTTGAGCATTGACACAATGGTGACTCGATTAATCTAAACGAACACAGTTTGCTCTTAAAGTTACCATGACCTGTAAGAAATTGAACGACACAGTGATCCACCTCAAGCCATGTCCTCGACAACCGTTCGCGAACAGATGGAAAGAACTGGTAAGGTCTATGAGGTCATATAGACAGAAGCAATCTTGAGATGTTATCGTGATCTCGTGCGCCCAAAAAATTGCATTCCATGTTTTCCAGTGTTGAATAGTACGTGGCTGTACGTCTTAGCACCTCGAGATTGATCGGAAGCACACTCGCCAACAGCCTGAATACTCAATACTAACCGTCCTATATGCCTTGCACAAGAATATCAGTGCAAGACTAGAGGCAGCGCAGGCAGGTGGATAAAATGCGTGCTGTCAAAGGCCAATAATTTATAAGTTACTGTGATAACCGTTATTTATTTTAAACGTGTTTTAATCACCACAATACTTTAAAAGAAAGTTCTACAACGTGCACTAAACTGACGTTTCCCAGTGATGACACAGCTGATGAAGATATGTATGTGATGTTTACTTTACACTTAGATATATATCTAGAACAAGGAAATATGAAAATGAGGCCGGCCAAAATTTCAAATTTGTAGCCCTAGCGGTTTAGACTTTGCGTTGATGAATCAATCAGTCAGTCATGGTAAGTAATTTAGGTACGTACGTAAGTATTTACGTATTCATTATGTATATTTGTGAGAATAATATAAGATAGATTTATTACCACTAACTCCACCAGTGAGTGGCTATGGGTGTTTATTCCTTTTACAATTTTTACGAAGAATACAAAAAATAAACTTTGTAGGTTATCTTACCCTGCTGTTTGACCATTCGGTTACCTTGAAGTATAATCGCTGCAATTAATATGCAAACAAATGACGCAATACGTAAGAAAACAACTTGAAGCTGCACTTATTAACCGATGTGAGATGATTCATTATACACTTTTATTACCATTACTGTTTTGATAAAGCGTATTACTACTATGCACGTGTAGGTGTTGTACGTGATAAGCATATAAGGGATAACTCGAGGGTATGTGTCGGATAAAAATGGATTTTGCGATATTGCCAATACGTTGGCCGAGGCATGATTACTTCGCCGAGTAGATCCTCCTATCTTCTCTTTGTGTTGAAGGACAAGACATCTGATCATGATTTTAAATTAGTCTTGAAAAATAGCCAGTTTATACAAAAATCTGTGGTTTTTTTTTCTACCAAAGTTCTAAAATTAGGCAGGAAAGTTGTGTATTTTGCAATAATCTTTAGTTTTCTTTATAGTTTTGATTCTTTATCTAAATTCCATCATGTTCTATAGTAACAAAAAAGTATATTTAATTTAATTTATAGCTGAAAAAATAATCAGTCGAAGTTTTAAAGCTTTATTTGATAGAAACTGAAAAACATTATATTTCACACATTTTATTTTATATTATTCTTAAATCGAAGTGATTCACCGATATTCCATGTCAAATACCAAGTTGCATCCAGTTCTGTAAAATTATTTTAAAATTGTAAAAGTCAATTGCTACTTTTCTACATATACTCATCTTCTTTTGGTTATTTTCGTACTGAAGTCTGAGTGTTTTATGTATTAAAGGGGCAAACTTCTTGTCTCGGATTGTATTTCTTTACATATTGAGTATCACTAATGACATTGTAATCATAATCACGGAAGTTAACGAGGTCTTCTAGTATGTTCTTTATGTCAAAACTAATCATCATGTTAAAAACCGGAGGCAACATCTGAATACCTGCTTCCTTGTGTAGGGTTGCGAAGTATTTATCCTGGAACGACATATTACAGATGAGAACAAAATTTTCATTTTTGTTAAGAACTTACTCTCTACACTACCATTTTTCGTTGATTGTTAAACTTAACGACGCGACGTACCACGAAAAAAAATTACATCTGATCAATGTGTAAATTATATTCTAAATATGCATATATATACATACATATATTTCCTCTATTCCGTTTTGTTAGGTTGTTAGTTTGATTAATCTAACAGTATGAAATAAAAGACCCGTTCTTTTAGATTGATCTAACAGAACGGTGAAAAATATTTCGTTTTAATTTAATTCTAATTGCCAATGAAACAGAAAAGGAATCCCTCTTACAACTTTCTGCTACAATAGTTCTTTCACGTTCAAACTACATAATTATATGGTATAGTGGGTATACCAATATATCCAGGAGTATTCATCAGTGGATGCTTCATCAGTACAGAAAGAAGGCCAATCAAACATTAAACGTTGACTGTAATATGATCATATCGTATTGTAACCGAAAATTGAATCGGTAACGAATTGTGATCGAAGTTACGAGAATTGGCCTTCTGGTAATTTTTTAGAGATGATGCGTTGATTTGATTTTTGAATGAAATTAATTTTAGAATGTTTGTTTCTTTTTCATTTTAAATAACCTAATGTTGTTTCGGACTGTTGGTCTAATTGAACTATATAACTAGTCTAATTAAACGGAATAAAGATAATTTTTGCCACTTTTTCTAAAACAAAAAACAATTATTTAAACTTTGCCGAAGCACCCATGAACAATAAAAAGAGGAACCATATTAAATGAAAATAATTAAGAAGATAATTGTTTATCAATGTGTAGGGACTTACAATATTAGTGCCGATGCTGTTGACATCCGTGGCTCTAAAGCCTTCCTTCCTGAGTGTGTGCACGTGATCCACCCATTGTCGCAACATTTCATCTTTAGGTGGCAATTCAAACTTTCCTGCGGCTAAAGCTGCTGAGTATTCTGCCTGTTTAATAAGCGTATATTTATTAAGATTATATTTCTTCACAGATAACAGCAGGAGGAATAATAATTCCTCCTGCTTTCTATCACGTTGGATGTGTTACAAATAGATCTATAAAAAGTGCTTATCAAGTTTAGAAAAGGTATAATTTTTTTGTGTAGCGAACAGTGGGTGGAAAAGAAAACGTTATGCAGAATTGTTGGTAACTGTTACGTAATATTTTCTGTAGATTGGTTATACCATTCTTCACGGGTAGTATTCATATCATTATAAAGGTTTTCCAACAAAAGGTGTTATTTTGAATCACCCGGTATTTCGGTAGCTGTCACTTTTGAAGCTTTTATTTTTTGACATTTGACAAGTAGAAACTATTATACGCCATTACTAAAAATGGAACGATACACATTTCAACAACGCATTGAAATTATTAAAATTCACTACAAAAATGGTGAAAATCTTGCAGTCACAGTTCGCAAAACTAAAGCATTTTTTGGACGTCGTGAAGCACCTTGTCGGACCGCAATACAGAAATTGGTGGAATAATTCGAGCTGTTGGGACAAGTTAGTGATGTGAAGAATAAAACAAGTGCACGTCGCTCAAGAACAACTGAGAATATTGCTGCTGTAGCCCAAAGTGTTGAAGATAACGCAGGTTTGTCCATTCCTCGTCGTCCTTTGGAATTGGGCATTCCACAAACATCATTACACCTTATATTGCACAAAGACTTGGGTCTTAAGGCTTATAAAGTTCAGTTAACACAAGAACTCAAGCCGGCCGATCATCAGCAACATCTTGTCTTTGCTGATTGGGTACTCGAAATGCATGAAAATGATCCGGAATTCCATCGAAAAATCATCTTGACTGATGAGGCCCATTTCCACCTAGGAGGCTACGTCAACAAGCAAAATTGTCGCATCTGGGGCTCGGAAAACCCAAGAGTTATTGTTGAGAAGCCTCTCCATCCTCAACGTGTGACTGTTTGGTGCGGTTTATGGTCCGGCGGGGTCATTGGACCTTACTTTTTCGAAAATGAGGTTGGATCAACACTTACGGTGAATGGATTGCGCTATCGAGATATGATTAATGATTTTTTATGGCCGGAGTTGGATTTTATTGATCTGGACAACGTTTACTTTCAACGAGACGGCACTCCGTGCCACACAAGCAACGAAACCATTGCTCTTTTACGGGAAAAGTATCCTGACCGTGTTATCTCTCGAAGAGGTGATCACAATTGGCCACCGAGATCTTGTGATTTAACACCTTGCGACTACTTCCTTTGGGGCCACGTGAAAGATAAGGTCTACGCCAACAGCCCAGCGTCGATTCAACACCTCAAAGATGGAATTCGTGAGGCTATCGAGCTCATAGGGCAGCCACTTTGCGATTTGGTTATGCAAAATTTCATTATAAGGGTATGGTCCTGTAAGCGTGGTCGTGGTAGCCATTTGGCGGATGTTATCTTCCATTATTAACGGCATACCTTCCTCTTTATTATAAAATAAACAGCCGATTATTTATCTTGAAAAATTGCATTTTTCTTTGAATACTAAAATAACACCTCTTATTGGAAAACCCTGTATACAGATTATCGTATTAATAAACTTTATTTCAGATTAAGGTCCATATTTATGTTAATATTTTAGTGTTAGTAACAATAGTGCTTAAGCTGATAAATTAGTATTATTAGTTATTACATTTTTTATTCTATTTATCATTTGTATTGACTTATGACCCAGTGTTTCTGGAATGCTCAGTCCGGTATTACGACTTTCTTGCATGTTTTAAATTAAGTACCTGGATGACAAGGTTTATTTTGGTAAGTTTTCTAAAAATGAAACCTAGCTAGATCGATTAATCGCCCCGAAACCCCCTGCATACTTCATATATTTCATGAAAATCGTTGTAGTCGTTTCCGAGATTCAGATTATATATATACAAACATTGCTCGTTTAAAAGATTAGATGGCAGCTTAAGCACTAGCACGTATATTATTTTACGGTATAGTCAATTGGGCTTCCTGTTTACTATATAATTAGTCGAAACTAACCTGAACTTCTAAAATTTTAGAAATAATTTCCTTGGAAACTCCTACGAATGTCATCGTGGGCTGGTTGATGTTTACAATCTGTTGGTACAGTGGGAACACGTAGCTCTCGGACGTAGTAATACCGCTCGATAGATGGTTCAGGAACGGATGGTAGTATTTATAACCTAAAGTATATTAGAATTGTACGTTCAACTTCAAATTTATGATGGGGCATAAAATAAAAAAAACTGGAAGTCGTAGCCCGCGAAATGTGAGTTTTGACTGTATATTTAACTGTGTATTCTGTATATTTCCTGATATTTTAAAAAATCTTGTAATTTGTAATCACAAGATATTTTGTCTGACTTGTAAAAATATCTGAAAAAATTTACTTGCAGAAATAAATATCATTTCATTTCATATGTGTAAAATAAATGAATAACCTTTGTTTTTGATCTAGGTAATGATTTATTCATTTCAGTTCAATGACAGAAAAGATTCTAGTATAATCTTTCGCATTATTATGAGATAAATAAATTATCACAGCAACAGCCTTTAATAATCCACTGCTGGACATAAGCCTCTTCTTAGAAAGGAGGTTTTGGCCTACTATACCACGCTGGCCAGACGAGTTGGTATAGGGTTTGTGCCAAGTTTTCCTTCTCTCTGCAGCGCTGTTGTGCTAAGTAGTTTTCTCCCTTAGTCGGCTCTTATGACACCCAGGGGCCATCCCCTAGGCGTGGTGACACTCTGTGTTCTCAATCCGTCACCACAAGGACCAATAATAAATTATACTATTCTTGTATTTTGTTTTTTCAATAAACGAGTGTCAGGTAACTAACACTCTTTACGTAATTAGAATTTTGATTAGAAATGTACCTGTGCAATATATGACAATGTCGAAATCTTCAGCAGTGTCGTCCTCAAATACAGCACCATTTGGAGTGAAATGTTTCAAATCCGGTTTATTTATATAAGTCTCAGGGAAATTTGGTGGATTAAAGGTTTTAAATGTCCGAAATATATGGTTACTGTGCACCAGTTTCGAGGTTATATTAGAGAGCTGTACGGCAAGATCAACTCCTGTTGCTCTTCCACCAATTAAAAGCACTCGTTTACTCCGATAATCTTCAGCATCCTTATAAGAGTGACTATGCAATACTTTGCCTGTAACAAAGTTGTTGTAAGTGCTGTAAGTTTAATATATTATTAAGCTTTTGGAACTAATTAACTGTCCAAGTTATGTTGAATTCGAAAAAGAAGATAAAGTGTTTATAAGGTTTGTCCAAAATTTATGAAGCCATTAAATAAAAATCAATCAATATAAAATATTTTTAAATTTGCAGAAAGACAGTAGAACTATACAGAATGGAAGTCTGAAGATTTTAGAATTAAATTAGAAAAGCCAATTACAGGCACACAAAAGGCAGTATCATTTTACTCTATTTTTTACCAATTGAGATTGGAAAAACCAGAGTGAGTAAAATGCTTAAATTTTTATCAGCGGCCGACCAGGGCCTTAAATAAATAAATTTAGGTGTCCAGTCTTTCAAAATTATATTATATCATTTTATTAAGTATCATTTGTATATTTTTTAACAACTTTCATTAACTTTACAATTTCGTCGTAATGATAAGATTTTTTATTCAAAAATTACAATTAGGTCAATTGTTATTTTCAATACCAGCAAGGTTTAAGAATCATAGTTCTAGGTGATTTCAAAGGGGTAGATGACTGGCAAGTCAAACCAGTTTCTTTTTAATAAATACTATGGCGTGACGCCATACTTAACTATTGTCAAATCATTTATATTTAATGTTCATTTAAAGATAAAAAAACAATAAAAACATAAAATTGTAAATGGAAGGCAATTAAGGATGTACTTTCAACATTTGATTATTTATTACAGTTAATTATTCAGCTGAAATAATTTATTTTAAACCCAGGGGTCTACCTTAATCTGATCCGTGTATATCTGTAGTAGAAAGAATTCCTACCTTTGAACAATTCTTGTCCTTCGAATTTAGGTATGTAGGGATTATTGAACTCTCCGCTGGCAACAACAACGAAATCGCATTGCTCTGTCACGTTATTCTTGGTGTCGCTCTTCGTATATGTCAGGTTCCAATATTCTCCAGTCCATTGTACCCAGGTTACTTGACTATTAAGCTAAAATTAGTGATTGGTTGTTAGCATCTGAGTTGTTTTTAAACTTAGTCTTCACAATCAAATTTACAGTATTTCATTTAATAATATTTAAAACTTTGAAGGTTTATTGTTTGGTTTAATATTAAAATAGATAGATATTCTTTATCGCACGATAGGACTCCTGCAAAATTATGTACAAATATAGATTTTTCGATTTATCTGTCTTCTGTCTATAGTCCTTTGTATTTAGATCTCAAGTGACTTACAGTACTACAGTACATCATTGATCATCAATCATTGATTAGGTAAAGTTAGGTAATAGATCTAAAAGACCTGGTGTATTTAATTTCGCAAACACGTATTTCCATGTGAAGCACCAGCTGTTCCTATATCATACCCTCTTGTGACTGCAAAATGCTGGCTTCATTAGAAAAAAGGATTTAAAATGTTATATTTTGTTAGTATTTGGATTCCCAAACTATTTTGGGCAAGAGACCCCTTTTCCATAATGAACTGATACCTCAGACCCCAATAGCCAAATTACTTTAAAATCCTATCTCTATTTTGTTTCCTATTGATAAAAAATCATTGGTTTATATATATTACCTTTATGAAGTTGGAGATTAAAAAAAACAGCCTTATCTAATTTAATTATCTTTGGATTGGCGCGCGATTCAAAATTTAAATAATTTTTATTCGAAAACCATGTTATTTTAATTTAAAACTCAGTCATTTCTTTTAGATAGTGTGTTTTTTTGTGAAATTGTGCTGGTTTTTGGTGCCAAAGATAATTTGAAAATTCATACAATTTTCGAAAATGACTTCTTAGGTGGAAATAATGCTGCGCAAACAACACGAAATATTAACCACGTGTACTGGCCTAACACTGCTTACATAAACACGGTCCTTAGTGTTAAAACAACATTGACACACTTGCGCCAAATCCAATTGTAACTTGCGATAAAAAGTTGATCCTGTACGACAACCGTAAGCGTTCGTCTCAGGGGGTACAGCATAAGAAGATGATGGTGACTGTCTGGCGGACCAGTGCCGGACGTGTATAATTCTAATAAACAACTACGACTGGTCAATCGCTCTTCCCCATTGCTTCTCCACGACAACGCGCGAGCTCATACTTCACGACAGACCATCGCAAAGCTACAAAAGTTACAGCTGGAAACTCACCGGACCTTGCCCTAACAGATTTCTACTTTTTAAAAATTTTGTCAATTTTCAAACATTCAAAAATTCAACATCCGAGAGGCAGTACAAAATGCTTTCACTGACTTCATTGCTTTCCGTCCAGCAGACTTCTACAGTAAAGGGTTAAACAAACTGCCATCAAAATGGCAAAATCGAATAGACAATTTGGGCCAGTACTTTGATTGGCTAAAATAAAAAAAAAAACAAGATTTCTATTTTTCAATATTTTTGTACGAGTCTCCAACTTTATAGGTAAATACCTAATACTTAGCAATTTAAAAATTATGCAGTTGGTTAAGTGAGTAAACTTGAAATCATTTTCTCATCAAAATTAAAAAAAAGAAATAGACATATGATTCAGTAAATTTGAAGTGCAATTAATAATATATTATAATTAATACAAATTAAGTAAATCTCAAAGTAAAAAATAAACTAAAACAGTGTGATAAATGAACCCGGTGACTTTCTAACAATATATAATATATAAATCTGGTTCAATAATTATATTGGTGAGTTGCAGTATTAAGTTTGTGCCTTCGGTAATCTTCAAACAGTTTTCTTTTTTTTTTACTGTTTGTAACTGCACTTGAAGACTTTTTCGATGATAGAAAAGAAATTGGCATTTATCAGCAATGTTCTATAATGCAGGATACTGTGTTTCAATGTTGCACTGCAACCAGAACTTCTGATAGGCTTGGTCAAACTTCTGCGCTAGCCCCTCGTCTGTGCTGATTGTGATCAACTCTTCTTGCATTACCACATTGACTTCTGTCATGCCTGTGATATTGTACGGATTTAATATCTATTGAGAAACTTTTAAATTTAAGAGGTCCTGACACAATCTTAGTAAAATGCTACTAAAATATTAGTCATTCTTTTAACAAGCTGGTACACGTAACACAACTTAGACAGCATCTTGAAAGTTTTAAATAAGAACTTGTTTTATTTAATGGGGGTCGATTTTTAGAACTCGTCGACCCCAAAATCTGTTTTCGTTTATGTCGACCCGTGGTATGGTTATTTAAGCAAATATAATATGTAAAAGAATATTTAGTCTTTGAGACTTCTTTCTTCTTTAGTCTCTTCTTAAATAAAAACAAACTTACCTGAATATCCTTCATCAAATCAAAATGTCTTGCAAACGCTTGCAAATACTTATAGAAGCAGACTCCTGAAGGAAATGAAACTGTCCCGTCCGGGAATGGGAAACCGCTAAACTCCATTGTCTGATACGGCGTGTTGATTCTACAAAAACAATTTTCAAACTTGAGTTTTTTTTAAACAGAATGAAAATATACAATATATTTAATTTATAATACACAGTAATTAGGAACCGCCGATATGGGTTGGCGTGCTAGTATGATTTCAAAAGTCGTGACGCTATCTAAGCGCAGAATTTCGTAAAATAGCTTTTTAAGATTTTTTTTGTAACCCAAAATGCTCTACCTTGTTGACTAACTAACTGCTGAACTTAGTGGAATGTAGTAAATATACTGATTTACTACATTCCAATAAATAAAACGAAACAAATAGAACAAACGAGGAAACGGGTCACCTGATATTAAGTGACTACCTCCGCCCATGGATACCTGCACCTCAAGAGCCACAAGTGCGTTGTCGCCCTTTCATTTCCTTCCCCCACAATCAGAGGGAAAGGGAGAGTTTGAGCTCCGGTAACCTCACTCACTCGGTGAAAAGCAATGAAAGAACTGCTTAACAACCTTTTTCTGTGAGCCCGTTTTGTCACTCCGATCGAGCCTGGCCCATATCTGCCGAAACATGGCTCTCTCATGATAACGTAAAGACGGGCACTCATTAGCGAGCTGTAACTGTAACCATACAGAGAGAGTAACGAAGTTCTAGTGTGTACGGGATGTCCAAATCACTGTTATCGTAACGACGAACTGTATCTATCCGCAGTATTGGTTTGTAATTCGACGATGTCAGACGAAGTGTCTCAAATGTTTTTTTATAATAGTCTTTGTCCTTAGGGTTCCATAGTACGCTGTTTTGCGTGTAGGCGTCAATCAGCAGAAGACATTTATCATCTGACCTTTCACTCATGACGAATAAACTAATTATAAAAAGTTAAAATATATGGCTAGCAGCGGCGTGCAACAACCTTCACTTTTGGCCAGACTTGGCGTCCACAAGTGCACTGCGAGCGCCCTTTGATATGCGGCAAAAAAGGACTCGACGAGCTCGTTGCAGGTTCGTGAACTATGTACACAATACGAGTATGTTTTTGGTAACAGTACATGCAATACAATATTTGGTAACAGTTAACGCTCGCTAGTGAGTGCCCGGCTTTATAAAGGAGGAACACTGAGTTCCAAGTTACAGGTGATAAACCTAGTTTTTGAGAAAGAAAGCTGTTATTGTTAATATAGCCTGATTATTTTATTTGTTATTATGTTATTTTTGGTAAATAAAGAGTTGTTATTATCATTATAACGTTACAGCTTACCTTAACTTTTTATACTGATTAGTAAATAGTGGCACTCCAAATTCATCAGTTCCAGTTCTAGAATCGAACCTCCATGTACCCCCAATGTAGCTGGTGCTTTCAAAGACTGTGAAATTCAGACCGTTATTTTTCATGTGTCGGGCTGCAGCTAGTCCTGCATAGCCAGCTCCAATGATGCATACTCGAGACGTTGGAGTTAGCTGGAACAATTTAACATACCTACACATAAAGTCACATATTTAAGGCCGTCCGTGTGGTATCCGTGTGGTAACAGATTAAGAATACCCAGTGTCACCCATCCCGTGAGAGGGATGAATAGGGATGGTGACACTGGGTATACCTATTCACTAAGGGACGCAGGACAACAGCACTGCATAGAGAAGGAAAACTTGAAACAAACCTTATACTAACACGTCTGGCTATCGTGGTATAGTGGGCCAAAACCTCCTTTCTAAGGAGAGCAGTGGACCATTAAAGGCTGATGATGATGATGATGTCTATACGTAATGTGGAAATGTGTAATGTGTGTGTGTGTGTGTGTGTGTGTGTGTGTGTGTAAGAAAGGAAATGTTAAGATATTGTAGAGTTTTCGTTTTTTCGGGTCTCATGATTTTTAATATACAAGCATAATTTGTAAGGACACATTCTTTGTAAAGTAAGGTCAAAAACCTCTAATATCATTAATTACTTATCCACCTTAAAAAAAGAATGCTGCTTGTATTAGATTGGGATTAATTCTTAGTTACCTTAGATAGTTAAAGAAGGGAATAAAGTATTAAAAAGGTTATGTTTCAGACCGATTAGGTTCTGGCCTTCATATATGTAAAGAGTAAATTTCGAAGTATATATTTTTTTTTTGGTAAGGGGGGCAAGCGAGCAGACGGATCACCTGATGGCAAGTGACTTCCATCTTCCATGGACGCCTGGGACTCAAGAGCCACAAATGCGTTGCCGCTCTTTCAACCCCCCTCCCCCTCTTTCAGAATAAGGGGGACGTTTGGCTTTCAGTAACTCACTGGATGAAAATAATCACACATCTCACACACGGCCGTCTGATCTCAAACTAGGGAAAGCCTGTGCTATTGTAACCAGACTGTTGATAAACATATTTATATACTTTTAAATAAATACATATTGTAGATAAATTACATCCAGACACAGAACAAATGACCGTGATCATCACACAATATTTGTCCTGGGTGGGAATTGAGCAAACGACCTCCGGTTTAGCAGTCAGGGTCCCTAACCACTAGACCAAGAGGTGCGACTTTCACAAAAACAGTAAATTCTTCTGCTTTGTCATGGTTACATTGAGATGTCCACGTCAGCGGGTAGAGGCAGAGACAGTCCTTCGTACAATCGCCCGCCATCTCTCCCTGTTGGCAGACTGTCGGATACAGTCAGACACACGGCTCCCCATTGCGGATCTCACCTGATCTAATTTATATTCATTTTGTCTAAATGTATTCGATATCTACAAGTACATTATATTACTATGATAATGTAAGATCCTAATTAGGTACCGTATAATTTGCAAATGTGGACATAAATAGATGAGATTACATTTACATAATTATTCCTCATTACTAAGAAGTTCGTAAACATAAGATAAATATTGAGGACAAACTAACAACCTTCGCAAATGTGGTTCAAAGAGAATTAATCATATTTAACCAATAGTTTTGGAGAAATCAAAGTCATTGAAATTAATTGAGTGTAATTTGAATATGATTCTTATATTTGACACAAATCTATCAGTTTATTTATAACATATATTGTCATCCTGCAGCATTGTACACAACGTGTGTTTTATCTTTTAACAAATCTCTAAACCACATATTCTGCACTTTATTTCTAGACGATTTGAAAAATATGAACAAAAATTTTCAGTGGTTTAGAAACAGGACATTTTGTTTTGTTTTCGTAATTTGTAACATCATGTGTAAATGCAGTCGCAATACATTGACCTCAGGCGGCGATTATCTGTTTACGCGGAAGCGAACGAAATAAGTTGATTATTGCGTCAGCAGGATGAAGAACACACGTTTTTAATTAATTTATCCAGTTAGTACAGTCAGTCGGCCCTTGGCCACTGGCGAGTTTTATACTGTTCTGTGTCCTTGTAGATGCGCTCACGACAAATTATCGTAATAATAATATTGTAGTTGTTCGTGAGATATTTGTTTAGAAAAGTTTTGTTGTGATAATAATTGTTTAGTCTTATTGCTTTCGTCATAATACAGGTCAATGGTGTTAACAATTAATGTTTTTAATTGTAATAAATTTTATTTTAAAAAGTGTAATATTAGGATGTGTGTGTATTGTAGTGTGAAACTGAGTGAATTATAAGTCTTTTAATTTTATTGGGTTATCGGTATCAACATCCATAATTCCGTGAGTCACCTTCACAGCTACGGAATATCCTGACATGATGTTAATTTACGGGGAACTCTATTAAAACGCTTCTTTAGCTTTATGGATAGGTATGGAGTTAATCGTGTATGTGTGTACTAAATCCATCGGTTTTTAACCGCCAAACGATTTTATCCGCAAATCAGAGGCTGTTAGACTACAGACGGTTTAGAACCCCATCACACGCAAGGGATTCAAAGAAGGCAAGAACAAATCTTCGACTTCTTTGAACGGGAACTTCCTCGATTAAGCACAGTAACGCTTCCACGTAAGCCAATACGCAATATGGAAGCTGATAAACACCGCTGGCTTGCACCCTTACTGTTATCAAAAAGTCCAAGAATTACAAGAAACAGACGCCTTACCTCGTCGATAATTCTGCGAGTGGCTTATTGCACACCCCGGTGCCAATATGTTGTAGACCGACAAGGCCTTATTTACTCGTGTGGGTTTGTACAACTAACATAACGAACATTGGTGGTCATATCACCACCCACACGTTGTTAGACAAGTTCTAGACTACATTTTGAATCTAGATATCTAGAAGACTACATTTTGAAAATTTATTAAAATACATGTAAAACAGTAGTGGTAAGTTAACCTCTAAATGCTTCTTTATTAATTATTGTACATATCCATCAAGATTTATGTATTTTTACTTATTTCAAACGTGGCCTTTAATTAAGTGAAGTTTGGTATTTAGATGTTATGTTAGGTACTTTATTTGTCAATGAAATGTAGGGAAGTATGCGATACCGATGGAGAGGTCATTGACACTTGCGCGCTTACCGATTGCAGTGTGTCTACAAATTGCGAGTTCTTGAGACAACTTTGTGATGCTAATTACTCAATATTTTTGTACCATGTGATACTAAACTAAAATGCGGGTTTCTCATAAATTACTACAGATTCTTCTGTGTTAATATGTATACTATGACTAATTTAAAATCCAAGATGTTTGTCGGGTCTTTTTTACATGTTTAATTTAATAATATTTTAGTGATTAATTATCCTTCTCTTCTCATAAAGGTATCTCTCTCTTATACCCTATCTTCTTTTCTGTATCTATGGCGCACAGGACAAAATATTTTGCGTAGACTAAGACTCTTAATGATTATCTTATCTCTTAATTTTTTAGGTTAATAATTAACCATGTCATTATGCTTTAAGATCTTTGTAGTTTCATTATTACCTACTCAATTAAGTTTAAATTAAAATCATTTCTCTAATTTATTTTATTTATTTATTTTACACTTTATGCACAAATGTGACAAAGGCGGACTTAATGCGCGGTCTAAATAAACCATAGGGCGATGCAGAGCTAAAATATTATTTTCTACCAGACCCTATCCTTCTTCCTCAACCCAATATCTTACTTGTGATAGTTATAATAATAATATCTTACGCATCACACACACTGCCGTCTGATCCCAAACTAGGCAGAGCCTGAACTTTGGTAACCAGACTGCTGATAAACATACTTATATATTTTTAAATACATACATATTATGGATAAAGTTATCCATATAATATAAATCTGCTAACTAAAACTCCTGAGCGACAACTTATCTTTTCATTGATACCGTTATAAAGATTATCATACAGCCTGAACTGCTAAAGAAATTCCTCTTCATTAGCAGAATATTTAATGAAGAGAATAGAAACACACATCATGACAGAGCAATTGTGTCACGTGCCTAACTTTGCCACGTGAATATACTGAGCATCTATGTACAGCTTCATTTCACATTCTGTGGCTTTAAAAATCTTGTCTACTATAAAGAATGAACTGAAAATTGTTTCGTTGCTTTGAGTGAGTGAAGTAACCAAACCCCCAACCGGGAGTTTCCGTAGTTCCCCCAATTCTTGAGAGGGGCTCTTGGACTCTTGAGTTGCGGGTATTCCTGGGTCACGGTAGTCACTTACCATCAGCTAATTCGTCTGTTGGTTTGCTCTTATACCATAAAAAGATATATTGAGCACTTATATTTAAAAATTAACATACATAATTCTAACCAAGACGGACAGGAGGGAAAAGTGAACTCTGATAGTAGATCTTAATAATTGCGTAGTATATCGCAGTGGCGTATTTCCAAGTCTAGGGCGGCAGGTTGCTGGAGGCAATGACGTATTCCGGGTTGGTTTTAGGAAGGCAAGATCATTGAAATTGACGTTTAACGAGTGTTAAGTCTCTCCAACCCTGCCACTTTCATTGTTTAAACTTATCTCTGTGTAATTCCTGAGTACTATATTTTTGTTAATTTAATGTGTGTCTATCTAATGATGTATACTGTACATGCCTGTAATTGATCTACATATAAGAACTATACTTTATTTTGAACTGCATTTTGTACAATGCTGTACGAATGTCTATAATAAATGAATAAATAAACACAAAGGGAGGATCCCCCGACCAAGCGAGGTGATCATGCCTGGCGGGCTGCGGCCTAATCGGCGAGAGAATTTTTCATATCGCGATACAGGATTAAAAATTCTCATTCGGGAGTTACTCCGTAGTTCGGTGTGCCTTCATTAGATGGCGCTATAGTATGTTTTTGTTTCTTTGTATGTGGGAGTCGCCATAAAGTGAATAATTTTGAACACAATTATTTTCAGAATAACAACATCTGATGTATTTTTACCAATGTATTTATAAAATTATAGTTTAAAAACTAAAAAACACGCTTTTGTAACCAGCAGAACTAAAAAGTAGAGAATAATTTTCTATAAGTTCAAAAAGAAAAATCATTATATCGTATAATAAGTTGGGTGTTAGATCTCAATTGCTGTTAAAATATTTTATTGCCAGATATTTGTAAAAGTAACGTTTTTATATTGAAAAGCATCCTACGCTAGTTTGCAATAAAATGCTTATTTGAAGTTATAGAAAATTATTATCTACTGTTTAGCTCGGCTAGCTACAAAAGCGTGTTTTTCAGTTTTTAAATTATATATTTTTTGCATTTTTTTTGTCATTAGTGATAATTGTATTCTCATTAAGACTAAAAATGTAACAAGTAAGTCACATATGCTTCAGGCCCTTCAGCACACGCCTTTTAGTACGTAGTAAAAGACACTACCTTATTTTTAGATATGGAAAAGCCTCTAATCCTCAAGATCCTGATCAGGATAATCGGCCAAATTTAGAGGCGTAGCATAGACTAATATAGACGTGGGTGAAGTCGCATCAGTGAGGCCCCTATTCTTTCGATCCCAGGACTTGTACATTTACATCTATTTTACCAAACACCCTTTGACACGACATACTCGTACTTACTCATGATAGTTAAAAAAATGCGCCATAGCAGAATATTAGAAAGTATGTAGATTTGAAAGAAGGTTTTCGTTTGTAACTTGCATCATTTAATTTCTTTCCAAAGTAATGGATTCGGCTTTATGACTTTTACTGAAGTCTTCTGGTGGTCTTATTATTAATTTTTGTAGCTAAATCTGCTTGGATGAAAAGTATTGCTAAAGCAGGCACTCGGGCTTTCTTGATATTGTTTCTTTTATCCTGGACACTGGGGTACAATACCAGCACTGCGCAGCAGAATGGGACTCCAACCAGCATGCGCAAGAGAAATGCCCCGCGTGGGTCCGGTTAGATCGAATCGGACGAGATTTGTTCCCGCCAGCAATCGTATTGTTGCGCCATAGAATTGAGTGGTTCTTGTGTTGTGTCTGGAGGACAGTGACATCTAGTGAGGCACAACGCTACGCATTGAGATTATGGTTCTTAATTCCGATACTTGCTTGAAATGCCATTTAGTGTCGAATATCGCAAGATTACAGAAATTTGTAGATGCCTTATTGTACGTGTATCTGTCTGGAACATTCCATCATATATTCGTCACATACATTAGAGGGTCAGCAGACAGTAATGGAAGCCACTCCGTCCATATCGTCAGCGGTTCCAGATATCACAGCTCTAATGACGATGCTCCAGGAGCAAGCCCGTCGCTTAGAAGAGCAGCTGCAGCGCGACAAAGAGAACCGAGCAGGCCCACCGTCCGGAGAAGCAGATGCTTTTGTTAAAAGGCATTCATGTGGACTTCGGCAGAGAGCTCAAGGTAGTTATCAAGTTCTTCAACACGAGGGCGGTCTCACTGAATCCGAAACCCAGAATGCAGACGTGAAGAATGCCATAGGGAACCTCACAGTTGGAAATGGGACGGCAATTACGGTAACTGCTGCTCCTTCGGTGTGACGGTTCAAAGTGCCGTCGTTTGATGGAACATCTTCGTGGTCAGCCTACAAGATCCAATTTGAGGCTGTTATGATGGCAAACTGCTGGACTAAGGTCCAGACTATGACCGCCTTCCTCACCTTGGGTCACCGAGTTTAGGCGTTAACCGTCCTCGAAGCCCTCGGTAAGAAGGTAACCTACGAGCAACTTCTAGAAGCATTGGAATCAAGATATGGTAACGCTCACCTGGAGCACGTGTTTCATGTGCAGCTAAATGATCGTGTCCCACGGATCGGTGAAAACTTGCAACAATGGGCCCTGGAAGTTGAGAAACTTGTCCGTAAGGCATACCAGTCTGCACCTGCGCTCGTTGACGGGAATCTGGTGCGAGCCTTCATCGCTTGCTTGCTGTCATTATTTGCTGTGAGGCTTGGGCACCATGAAACTCTCAAGGACGCCCTAGCCCATGTTTTGATAGTAGAAGCCGAGAGACAAGACCTACAGTCTCATCGCGTCTGGTAGGTTGTGGCATCACCGGTGCAGGACCGTTTTAAGGGACCTAAACCTAAATGTTACGCCTCTGGCGAAAAGATTAGGACGCCTAATTGCACTGCCCAGCAACAACAGGGAAACGAGTAAACGCCAGGACTGCGAGGCGGGTGTTGGCTGGTGTTCAAAGAGCCCAAGGATTTTGATCTCGCAAACCATTGTGGGAACAGCCTGGTCAACAGAGGTGAAATAAACGGAACGCCATGTAGCTGACGATTGATACGGGAACTTCTCGCACAGTTATCGGTTCCCAACTTGCAAATCGGTTTCTGAGGCCATCACATGTAACCGTGAGCGAATAAATCTAGTAACAGCCACTGGTCAGCGCATTCAGTCACTCGTCCGAGGCGAACGAAAGGTGGAGTTGAAGTTGGGCAACCAAGTTTATCTGCATCCTTGGCCTAGACTTCATAAAGAAGAATGGTTGTGAGATCGACATTAAACAAGGTGGAATGAGATATAGTCAAGAAGAACTGTTCATGGAGGGGGCATCATCAAGAAAAGTGTACAGCTTAAAGAAAGTTTTTCTTTCTCCCATGTCAGAAACAATTGTGCCAGTTAGGCTTCCTCATAACTCTGGAGAATTGCATCGGTGTGTACTTATTGAAAGGTTAGATAATGACCTTCCATGGAAAATCGCACGATCTCTAATAATATAAGTAAGTAAGTAAGTACCGCTAATATCTCTACAATAAGTGTGTTAAATCTTAATGACAGGTAACACGCGATTCATAAAGGCACACTGATCGGCACTTTCGAAAATGTGGATTGGATGCGTCGATTCCAAGACCTGACTACTGCAAATATTAGCATGGATACACGGAAGACTTTCGACTTTTGGAAGACTGTCGAGATGTTTTGTCTACGGAAGAAATAGACGAGGCTAAGAGGATGTTAGTTACGTACGCCCATATTTTCTCTTCTAATGATACTGACATCGGAAAGACTGATTTAGTTCAACACAAAATTAACACCGGGAATGAGTTGCCTATTCGTCAGCCACCAAGAAGGTTACCGGTAGCACGAGAAAAGGAGGTGGAAACCATGATTGATGGAATGGTGAGGGACGGCGTTATAGAGCCTTCATCCAGCCCATGGTGTTCATCTGTAGTGCTTGTAAAGAAAAAGGATGGCAGCATGCGTTTTTGTGTGGACTACCGCCGTTTGAACGACATTACAAAGAAGGACAGCTATCTATTTACCAGGAATAGATGACACACTGGACATACTTACAGGAGTAAAGTGGTTAAGCACCTTAGATTTGAAAAGTAGCTACTGGCAGGTAGTAGCCATTAATGCCTGACAAGTCTCGTATTCCGTCAATAATATTTACAATGGCCTCGCAGTCGTATTTAAAATGGGGCTTCTTGAGAGGCCTGAAACAAATACACTTCGAGTGTAAATGTGATCAAATTAATTAGTCTCCTGGTGTAAAGTCTAGGGGCATCACATTTAAAGAAACCTTGCGAGGCCCCCATAAGTGCGAGGCCGTAGGCGACGGCCATCTTCGCCCACCCACGGCTAGCTACGCCACTGGCTAAATTTATAAAAATATGGTTTTGGCATTAGCCCTTGGTGAGTGTGCGAAGTTTCTATTTAATTCGACGTTTTGAAGTTGGACAAAATTACCTTCGAAGATGCTGTTACATACAAAGCTCATAAAAGTGCAAGCAAATATGAGTGTTTTTAATTTCCAGCTATTTTCCGCTTCAGATCAAATTAAAGATTTTAAATTGAACATAGTATTTATGTTGTTATTTTAAAATTATTCAATGCCTTATTGAAAATAAAGTGCGCGTCGGACTCGCCCACCGAGGGTTCCGTAGAAATTTGTAGGTAGGTACTTATTATAAATAGTTTAAGAATTGCGTTTGGCAATTTTGCCCAGTTTTTAACGAAATTAAGTGTCCAAAACCTATAATTACTTATATTTGAGTTTTGTAAGTTAAAGTGTATCTCGATGATGGATTACATCCTTTATAAATTAAAGACTATATTTTTTATGATTTAATGTATTATAAATGTACAGTTTCAGATTTTTCCCTGTATTTGTAGAAGAAGACGATGTTACTAGGCAAATTTTTTGTTCTGTGTAAACGGGAAGTACCCTAAAAGATTGCCTTGAGAGTGTCGAAATTAGCGTTTTGTGTGACTTAAACGGCTGTATCTTTTTTCAAGTTACCTTAAAAATTCGATTTATTTCCCAGCTTTAACGGACTGTAGACCCGAGTATATGGTTTTAATTTTAACTCGATACCTCCACGAGTTCCAAGAGAGATAAAGGGTCTTGACAGATAGACGGACAACAGTGATCCTATAAGGGTTGCGTTTTTTTCCTTTTGAGATACGGAACCATAAAAATATGCACTGTTTTTGAATATGGATCTTCCTCATTAATAAATTTTTGATTTGAAATGTTTAACTTTACACATTTCACCTCTTGTTATGAGAAACATTATGGATGATATTCTCATATGATCTGAACATTGAAACGGTCACAATTTTAATTAGATAGTGGTTAAAAAAATATTTCTAAAATTGGATACCAAAGTCAAGAACAATACGTGTTTAAAGCTAATGTCAAATTTTTAAGGTTATACATTATATCTTTGAACTGCTTAAATTAATGAAAATACTTACTTACCTTTGCCAGCACGTCGGTTACATAAAAATAATTGATGAAGACACCTAAGACAAATATAATAGAAGGCCGATAACCCATTGTTGTAAAGTACGTGTGGATAACAAGATAAATTTTAATAAAGCCCTTTAAACTGCTCTGTTACGTTTGAAGACATGAAACATATTGGTTTTAAATGATCTGTGAAACTAGCGTATGGTATACGATAACCTTATATACTTCCAGGTCATGTTATCTGGCCTAATATATAGGTCTAATCATACATATAGATATATTTGGTCAATATGTGGTATAATAACTTTACAAATGTCAAATGGTTTAGTAAGTAAAAATGTATTTATGCTTATATAAATCCTTTTTAAGAAAAAGTTCAACCGACTAAAAATTAAAAAATAATTACAAATCCAAGTAAAAAAACTATACTAAGTGCGACCCTCGGTTAAAAATATGACATAAACAAGTACGTAACATAGCTTATGATAATAATTATAGGATTATCACTTTCGTAATTGGTTTCATTTTAACCGACTTCTAAAACACTAAAAAAGAGGTTCTCAATTCGTCTGTATGTTTTTTTTTAATTAACCCGGGAATCGAACCCGATACCTCAGAAAAGCAGTCGTATACGCTACCACTGCGCCACCAAGGCAATAATTAATTGGATTCACTTGATACATGCTTTTTGTGAGACCGCGACATCACTACTGTCAATGTTCATGGGTTTCATACGATAAGGGTTTATACATCATTTATATCTGTGTGTCTCTCGGTCACATTGCACAATTCACCTAGTTTCTGTCATATATAACATGTTTTGTATAAAAACAATAGTAATATCTACTGTTAAAGTTGGAATTAAGAGAGAGATACTCGTAGGTTGTGTATTAATTTAGTTTTTAAGTTTAAAATGCCTATGCCTTTTGGATCGAGAAAGAGATAATCGATTATGAACCTGTATAATCAGACTGTAAACGTGTGCTTAAAATCAAATTAAAATTTGACTGCCTCGGCGGTGCAGTGATAGTGCGACTGATGTGCTCAGGTTCGATTCCCGGGTCGGACAAAATGTTAGTATGATCTGCAAATATTTGTTTCAGAGTTTGGGTGTTTTCTATGTAAGTATAATATGTATGTATTTATAAATAAAAGTATATAAGTATTCTATCAGACAATCTGGCTTTTATAGTATGAGATCTACTTAGTTTAAAACTATATGACTGCACGGATGGCGTAGTGGTTTAAGCGGTCGCCACGCCGCTTCCTACTGCGCCGAGTGTTGTGGGTTTAAACCCCACATGGAACGACACTTTGTGTGATCCACAAATTGTTGTTCTGAGTCTGGGTGTTCTTTGTGTCCGTTTCATATATGTTTGTAAAGTCCCCCGTGACACAGGAATGTATTCCTACTGCGGGAGTAGTCTTTTTAAAAGAAGAAAAAAAATAAGAAATGTCGCTTTTTATTTATCATATTATTATAAATCAGGAGTATCAATTGCAAAGTATCTACACTTGGAGTCATAGAATGAAATCCACTGTAACATGCGCCTATACACTTTGTAGATGCTTTACTTTACTTTGCTTTACTTTTATTACTTACTTTACTTACTCCACATGGCCGTTGGAGTATTCATATCATTAACTCGCACTAATACCTAATTTACCTTTACGTTACGTTACGTTTCCGTGTGGTGATTGATTAAGAATACAGAGTGACACCAACCCTATTCAACCTGTGGGTGTCGTAAGAGCCGACTAAGGGAGCAAACTACGCAGGAAAACAGCACTGCAAAGAGAATTAAAACTTGACACAACTTTACGAACCCGTTTGACCAACGTGGTATAGTAGGCCAAAACCTCCTTTCTTAAGAGAGGCGTATGTGCCTGCAGTGGACTGTTAAGGGCTATTGATGAAGATTTTAAACCTAAGTCTTGAAAAATCATTTAATTTTCATAGTTATTTAACAATCACACATTTCATGCGTTAGATTCGAGCAAAGATATTGATCAATTACTTTCAACAGTAAGTATTCATTTGAACTCCTTACAGTGCAAAATTATTTTTAAGGTCCCCCAAATGTATTGTAATCACAATCCTGTTAATACCTAGAAAAAATCATGAATGGGTGTTTCTTAAAAAACCTTAAACTATTAAGATTTTTTAAATTAACCTATGAATAATTATAACAACGTTTTTATTTTATTTTTCGAAAAATATACAGCTGTTGACAATTACAAATCGTGATCATTTATGCTCTCTATTTTCTCATACATCAAAAGGGCATACCTCCTTTCTAGGATTATGACGTCTTTCATATTGAGTATCGCTAACAATCTTGTAATCATAATCACGAAAATGTAAAAGGTCCTCAAGCGCATTCTTTATGTTGAACTGAGTAAGGGCTTTGAATACAAAAGGCACCCTCTGAATACCAGCTTCTTTATGTAGATCTTCAAAGTATTCAAGCTGAAAAAAATAATAAAATTAATAGCAATGTTTGCTCTTTTCGGTTCAAAATTTAAAAAAAAACACAGTCAGTTGCTAAATGTAATTTTTTTTATCTTCTAGAGAGCATGAGGCATTAAAGAGCCTAAAAAAGCAAAGTTCCATATCCTCCATGGTCGTATTTTTTTTTAAATATTTGACAGAATAGTTTTTTACCTTACAATATTGTTTCGTGAGGGAAATTTCGGCACTTACCTCATCATGTCCAACGCTGTTGACATCTGTGATTTTAAAACCTTCCTGTCTCAGCATGTGTGCGTGTTCGAGCCAGTGGCGTAGCATCTTATCTTGAGAGGGTAAATTAAAACGGCCTGCTGCTAACGCCGCCGAATATTCAGCCTGTTTATAAAGAAGTTAAGTTATTACTATAATAGTGATAACTTATATTATAACTTAGTTTTATAACTACCAGCATTGTTCACACGTCTCTAGAGATGACACTGGCATGTTCAAGAAATTGTTGTGTTAGATAGAATCTGAAAGGACAATGGCAGTCATGTATGGGACTTTTGTACCACCTTGCGTATCTCATGGTAGGAATTAATGTTGTTTTAATTTGGCTGGTAATATCATCAACAATTAAAGTTTCAAAAACTAGATTTTTAGAACTATGTAAATGCACAAATTTCATAATCATCCATCATATATTACTGCAGCAGTTGAAGTTGGCTTAAATATTGGGTAAACACATTGGGATTAAGCAATGCAGCCCTATTTATTTAAGTTGTTTCCTAAATTGTAATCGTCTATGCACTTTTAAATCTATTAAAACCTAACCTGTACATCCAGAATTCTCGCAAATGTAGTCTTGGATACTCCTACGAATGTCATTGTGGGCTGGTTTATATTCACCACCTGTTGATACAGTGGGAGCACATAGTTCTCTGTTGCAGTAATTCCGCTGGATAAATGGTTCAAGAATGGAAGGTGGTATTTGTAACCTGAAATTTATTTAAAATGTTAGGTGCTCTTAACTTTTCTCTCTTCTGAGCCGTCATATTTTTTTAAGAATTTATCAATACGTAAAATATCAGTTCAGCATACTAAGCCCTTATAAAATTGACCCTATCATGGGCAAAAGCAGAATCTGTCAACATAACAAAAAATAATAAGTAAGCCAACTGTTCGAGGCCACTGTATTACACTGGCTACTATTAGTCTTCAATAGAAAGACAGGTCCTTCCTAATATGAAATATTTAAGACTAGAACTAATATGTTCATTGAAATACCTGTGCAATATATGACAATATCGACGTCTTCAAAGGTATCGTCCTCAAATACAGCACCATTTGGTGTGAAATGTTTTAAATCTGGTTTATTTATATAAGCCTTAGGGAAATTTGGTGGATTGAAGGTTTGAAAGTTTTTCAGTATATGATGACTGTGCACCAACTTCGACGTTACATTAGCCAGTTGTGTGCCTAAATCAATTCCTGAAGGTCCACCACCTATCACTAACACACGTTGACCTCTGTAATCTTCAACATCTTTGTAGGCGTGACTATGCATCACTTTTCCTGTAAAATTGAAAACATTGAAGGAAAAAACATTCTGTGTTCAATAGAAAATTAACTCAAAGCGATCGTGTCTTTTTCACCGGAGTATGTGCTAACATCGTTGGAGGAGAAAAGAAGTGTGTTTTTAAGTTAGTTAAGGTGCTGGAAATTCTGCACAAATATAAACGTTTAGTAAAAAAATTGACTCAATAAACTTTTTTCAGGTTGAACTTTGTCAGTATCGTGGAGTGTTACTCAGTTCCAACAGGTATGTATGATTATGTGAAGATTCTCTAGAAGTATTACGACAGGACTATAGATAGATGGATGTATTCGAAACACTTATTCTGTATTGCTTTTCTATCTTCTTATTTTTTTTAACTTCAAGTTATGTAAAATGTGTTTGCACGGCCCTTGGACCACGTTGAGATGTGAATCCATCACCACCAACTGTAACCACTGTCGATCATATTTCTTTACCTACCTTAAATTTACCAAGTTAACATTATTCCTACCTTTGTATAATTCTTGTCCTTCAAAATGAGGTATATAGGGATTGTTGTACTCGCCGCTCGCAACAACTACGAATGCACATTTTTCCGTCACAGTTACATTGGTGTCTGTCTTTAAATATGTGAGATTCCAACTTTTGCCCATCCATTCTACCCATTTAACGTGACTACGAAACTGAAATTAAAAATCTTCCATTATGACTTTTGATATAGAATATCTACTTTAATCGATATTTTTTTGAAACATCGAAGATATATCGCACCATGGTTTGCACTCCTGGAATACGAAGAGAATACGACAAACACCGGCACTGGTTTACTTTTATTATATCATCATCATCACCATCATCGGCCTATCGCAGTCCACTGCTGGACATTGGCCTCTCCCATTACACGCCACTTAGATCGATTTTAGGCTTCTCGCATCCAGCTCCTGCCAGCTATCTTGCGCAAATCGTCACTCCACCTGGCCTGTGGGCGTCTTACACTACGCTTGCCGAGACGCGGTCTCCACTCAAGAACTCGTTTTCCCCAACGGTTGTTGGTTCTGCGGCTAATATGGCCAGCCCACTGCCACCTCAGCTTGCTGATCCCGTAGGTTATGTTGGTGACCTTGGTTCTCTGCCGGATCACCTCATTCCTGATGTGATCCCTTAGAGAAACCTGAGCTTAGCCCTTTCCATAGCACGTTGAGCGACTTTAAACCTGTGGACCAGCCGTACCGTAAGTGTCCACGTTTCGGCTCCGTATATCATGACGGGTAGGACGCACTCATTGACATAAACATAAACATAGAAAGTTTATTCTTTGTAACTAAAAGTAACAAATTGCACAGTAGAATATGGTTGATAATGACTGCTATAGTTCATAACTGTGTTGCAGCCATTAACGCCCACCTCCGGAAGATAAGTTACAGGTTTCAAGTTTCATCATGCTTGCTGAATATAAACCAAATCAAAGTTAAAAATTAATTTAACAATGTTATAAGAAGTGTGGGTCAGAATACGTAGAATTGTTAGTGTGTGTGTGTTTGTGCGCGCGCGTGTGTGTGTGTGAATGTGTGTGTGTGCATATGTGTGTGTTATGTGTGTGCATATGTGTGTGTGTGTGTGTGTGTGTTCGTCTGTGCATGTGTGTGGTGTTTGAAAGAGCATATGTATGTGTACATGTGTGTGTCTTTAGGCCGGTGTTTCCAAAACTCATCAATTTAAGATTGATCGAATTTCTCATTGAGGTCGTGTCAGGAGACGTTCGGTATCATTATAATTTAGGGCAAGCAACCACTGCGTTACTTTATGTTTACATTCACGAAATATACAAGGGTAGATACGCAACACCTTATTCACCTTGTTATATAATACGGGAGCCAAATAATAATAGTGCCTTTTCGACAGCTCCAGTCTACAGAATTCCACATCACATACTTTGTCATTTCTTCTTTTATTAGGATTCAACTTATATTGTAATTCCCTGTGTTTGCGTAAGATCATATTTAATAAGTACAATTTTCTTACCGTAAGTATATTCAATTCACTATATAAGTCGACGGTAGAATAGCGAATAGGTTTAAATGTCATAACTTTAGTACTCCTCTCTGAGCTCTTTCCAGAGCAAGGAGCTTATTTTTACCAGTACCGTACCAGTATTGAATACTTAAGGCACTGTGGGATCGACGATGATAAGACTTGACGTAGCTTCCTAAACGCTGCCCAACCCAACTGAATTCTTCTGTTCACCTCGTTCTCCAAGTTGTTTCTACCTAACTGCAATGTCTACCCGAGGTACACATAATTTTGAACAACTTCGTGAACGGCACCGTGTAGGACGCCGATGCGTAAAGAAGAGTCAGCTAGGTCATTCAGCATCTGATGTAGGTCTTGCAGCATTTCTGCCATGATGACGATGTCGTCTGCAAATCGCAAGTGAGAGATGTATTCGCCATTCATATTGATGCCAAGCCCTTTCCAGTGCTGCGTCTTGAACATGTCCTCTAATGCATTTATAAACAATTTCGGGGAAATAACGTCCCCTTGTCTCACTTCTCGATGCAATGGTTGTAACAGTTATTTTTTTAGTATATTTGTATTGCGTACGGACTTGCCAAAAGCGACATCTATTGCCTGTATGTACTTGATTTATCCTAAGTAGTTTGAAGCTACAGTATTGATGTTCTTCGTTCGCCGTCGGACCACTAGATGGCGTTTGTTTGTAGATAGGTATTTTTATTAATTTATCATGACAAATGGTATAGGTATTAAGAGTGTTTTGTTATGGTAGGAAGCGAGTTACTTTTGATTTTGTTCGTGTTAACCTCGTTGATAATTTAAATGTCAAAGTAAAATGTTAAGAAGGGATTATTTCTGGAAACTTCGGAAACCGAACATATATAAGTCCGGCTTTCAGCCACGGGAGACACTCTGCTATCTCGTGTCTTCCAATCTTAAATAGTGTTTTGATTGTCTTGTGATTTTATTTTCATAATATATTATCTGTTAAAATTACCCACGAAAGTGGTGAGTATATTATTAATTTTTCTTGTACCTATTTGTTTCTGGAACCTGATCGATAATATGAGTGCTAATCCATTCGTAGGGTCCCAGATTTCGGGGTCAAGACGGTCAGTCTCAGACGGCGTGCTTGTTCGTTTGTGGCCTTCTGGTTCGGATTCAAGTTTCTCGGTACCCTCTGGCAAGCTGGCAGTCACGCGGCTCACAAAGCAAGCGGACAGCCGTACCCAAGGGTTACGTACCTCTATTTAACTTTATAAATACCAATTGTGAACTTTTCTCAATACCTAATATAAATAGCCGACTCGGGCGGAAGGGGAAGTGACCTCCTGGAGTGAAGACGAGGAGGCTCCGAGCACCATCAGCTCGGCTCTGACGCGCTCCGCTGCGGTTTTTTTCTTGTACCCACTGATTAATTTTTTTTCTTTTTTTTTATTGTAACTTTAATTTTGTTTTGAAATAAGTGTAAGTTGTTTTCCTCTAAGGAATCCCGTAGGTTTCCCACACGCACACACTTCTTTTCTCTTAGAAGGCGCCCTGAGGTAATCTCATAAATCTCTCCACTGGGTCAGCCGGTGAGTAGTCCGCCTGAGAAGAAAAGCGGCTACATGGTGTGGGCCTTGTTTGCTGATTCTGTACTTGGACCGATATGGTGGTGGCTTCGTAGAGACATTTCATTACTTGGATGTATTGCCAATCTACTTGGCAACTCTGCAGGGACTCCAGAAAAGACCAGATCTCGATCGAGTCAAAGGCTTTCTCATAGTCACCGCATGCTAGACACAGGGGCTGATTATATTCTTCGGTCTTCTGTATAATCAGTTGTCTATGGTGCCATATCCGCTCCGAAACCCAGCTTGCTCCGGTGGTTAGAATTCGTCGAGTCTTCGCGCAAGACGGTTCGTGATGACTTTCGAAGACAGCTTGTAGACGTGGCTTAGAAGGGATACGGGTAGAGCTTTTGGAGCTCTCTTAGTACGGGTCGACCGATCCGGCCTTTAGCAGCTCTATTGTAACGCTATCCTCTCCAGGGGTTTTTCATTTTTTAGCTATCTAAGAATCCTCATTTTAGGGACGCTCACATTGACTGGAACGTTTGAGATCCTGTCATGGCGTGGAGCAGAGTTGGTCGGAGCCTGGACTTCATCAAAGAGACACGTTCAGCCCTAAAGTTGATGTTCAGAGAGTCCCGGACAAGTCGGTAATCACTACCGGTGTTAAACCTATTGATTACTTAGACGTCTCTGAATATGTCCTTTTTATTTGTCCTGATGAAATCGATCTCATTTCTGGTTATAGCGTCGGGGCTTTGCCACGTTCCCTTTCTTTGGCGCTGTTTCTTGAAGAAAGAGTTCTTCAAAAAGAGTTCAGCTTTGCCCCCTATGATTCCTGCTTCCAAATCCATAGGATCCTACTACCGATTCGCCGCAATTCTGTACTCCCACTTTGGCGTTGAAGTTACCCATAACAACGTTGTAGTGGGTATAAGTTGTGAAGTGGAGGGCCCTCGATATGTCATCGTACATATTTATTTATTTATATTAAGCACATCAACAGCATAATTACAACATCATGGGGCGATAACATTTTCATGGTTTGAGTTTCCGGTAATTACACAGGTAATAGATATGCAAGACACTTAGTATATATCCAATGGAGATACCTTTTATACAAATGCTAATTTAATACATAAAAATACATACACAGACATAAAACCTAAGGTAGAACGTGTTTCCTTTTTAATAATAAAAGACAAAAAAAAAAACAAAAACAAAACAAAATAGATCAGATCAGGCGCTCCAAGAGTTGGGTTCGGCAACATGGCCTCGTATGGAGCGTTTGTATGATGTGAATGTCGTGGAGAAGATATCAATATTTTCCACCGCCATAGACCTTTCGTTATACAGCCTTGCCATGCGTATAAGGGGGCTGTTGAAAGTGGTATTTAAAGTTGATACAGGTATTTCAAATGTACGATGGTGACGCATTACCCGTGTATTAATCCTAAAGTTGAAGTTGTGTATCAATTGTGCATCTATCGAACCCTTTAAAATTTTGTATAAAGTAAATAAGTCAGAATGAACGCGTCTTTCTTCTAAGCTTAACATGCAAAAATGATTTAACCTGTCACTGTATTGTGGAATAGTTTTACGGATTCCGTTTTTTATGCACAAATACCTAATGAAGCGAGACTGAATTGACTCCACATTGTCTATGTGTGTAGCATAATAAGGGAACCATATAGTGGAACAATATTCTAAATGACTCCTTACTAAGGCGTTGTAAAGTAATATAATACTGCTGTTGTCTCGAAAAGGCTTGGACATGCGGATTATGAAACCGAGCATCTTTTTAGCTTTATTTACTAGAGTGTCTATGTGATCGCGAAACGTTAGTGACGAGTCAAAAAGCACTCCTAAGTCCCGAATGGTAGTAACTCTGCTCAAGTAAACCTTTTCTATGTAATATTCAAATCTGATATATTTTTTTTATTAGTAAAAGTTATGAACTGGCATTTCTTCACATTGAGAGACATATTATTTTCCAGACACCATTGCTGTAAAAAATTTAAATCATTTTGAAGCTTGTAGCAGTCGCTTTTTTCATTTATGCGATTAAAGATTTTTAAATCGTCTGCGTAAGCTAAACAATTACATTCTAACTTTTCTAAGAGGTCATTTATAAATACCAGAAAAAGCAATGGGCCTAATTTTGAACCTTGTGGGATGCCTGAGCTGGGGATAAATGGAGCAGATTCATAGCCCGCTAATGAGCCAGGAGTGAACGATTCACAATATAACTCTCGAGCCAACGCAATAAGCACCCATGAATGCCTACATGGTATAATTTCTTGCAAAGTATTGAATGATCAACGCGATCAAACGCCTTTGCAAAATCGGTGTAAACTGAGTCAATCTGACCTCTGGCCTCCAATGTCTGTGAAATAGAGGTACTGTAAACCAGTAAATTTGACACAGTCGAACGGTTGACAACAAAACCATGCTGTCTTGGACTAATTATGTGTTGTAAATGAGAATACACAACTTTGTATATGACACCTTCAAAAATTTTTGCGAATTGTGATATAATTGATATTGGTCTATAATTAGTTACGTCATTCATATTACCGCTTTTGTGAATAGGGACAATGTATGAAATTTTCCATAAGTCGGGAAACTTCCCTTCCATGAGAGACTTATTAAAAATTAAATGTAATGGTTTAATTAGGCCTTCCACACAGAAACGAATAAAAATCGGAGGTAGCCCGTCCGGTCCAGCTCCCTTATTTAAATCGATTTTCTTTATCATTTCTTTAATAACGTTTTCAGTAATATTAACAGAGGAAAGACTGTAATTGGAAGTGGTGAAGTTAGGTGCGTAATTAGTACGGGATGGATAGTTATTATAAACAGAAGCAAAGTATTCCGCAAATAGTTTCGTAACGCCACTTCCACCTTTTCCCACTGTATCATTATAATAAACTTGATTGGGAATGCTTCTGTATGTCTTTTTCGATTTCGCATAATGCCAAAAAGCTTTTATGTTCGTTTTTAAATCCTTCTCTATTTTTGCAATGTAATTCCTGAAACCGGTTACTATGGCCTTTTTAACTCGTGTGCGTAACAAACTAAATGTATCCTTGTCTCTAGAGTTTTTATGTGTTTAATATCGAGTTCTATATTTGGTTTTTTCTCTAATAATTTTTATCAATGATGTTGAGAACCAAGGCGGACAGTTTTGATTTTTATGTCTACCTTTAGGAGTATATTTATCTATAGTTTCCCATAGTATGTCATAAAACACGTGAACAAACTCGTTACATTTGAATGTGTTATAGTCTTCCCAATTGACCATTAATAGGTCACGAACGCAGGCTTTATAGTCGGTTTTGTTAAAAAAGTAATTAGGCTGAGAAGTATTCTGATGCAAATTAGACGCCGATGTTTTACTATAAACTAATTCTAATGGAGGGTGGTATTTATCAGGCTTACATAAGGCGGGCGCCCCTGAGACAGTAATGTTAGAGTTCTCATCCACTATTACCAGATCTAAGAAGTTGTCATTGTCATTAAAAATATTATTTATTTGCTTATATCCAGATATATTCAAAAAGTTCCCCAATGCTGACGATTTGGGATCATTTACACCTAGGAAGGGATCGATAGGCTGGTGCCAATTTATATTAGGTAGATTAAAGTCACCGAGAATCAATGTAATGCGTTCTGTGTAACATGAACCAATTTCCCCGGCATTAGCCAAAAATGTCTCAAACGCATGGCAAGGTATATAAGACGGCAGATACACTAAACAAAGATTCATACAGACACCACCTAAGGTTATACATAGCCATATGTCCTCTACGGCTGTTTGCCAATCTATTCTATTAACAAAATTAAATTTATTACTAACAGCAATTCTTTAAATTGAGCGTGACGATCACGGCGTACTACAGTGTATCGTTGATCAAAATATTCAGATGAAAGTCAGACATATAATGTCATAAATAAGTGAATTTAAAATTGATAAATAAACTTCAAGTGACTGTCTTCATGCCTCTTACATTCTGATAAAAGATCGATATACTATCCATAAAAGTATTAAATACAATTTAAACATGGCACTTATAAAATAAATATATTGGTGAAAATGGCGTTGCAGAGCATAGGTAACTAATATTAAATAATTTTATCCAAACGTTGCTCATTCTTAATTAGTATGCTACCCGAATTTTCGTTCTTACACACGTAAACGATTTTTCTTTGGCCTTAATACGGGCAGCAGCATGTAAAGCTTTATACACCGGCGAAAGGAGTTCAGACACGTAGATCGGCTGTGTGCCTCCTCCATAGCCCAATAAAGATGTATTTAATCTGTTGTCCATGTGAGACTTATTGTATTTGGTGATTGCTGAGTACAGTTCATCACGACATCTAGGACTGCGCAGCTTTAGTATCACAGTGCGTGGACGAGTCCTGTTATCGCTCATACTGGCCACTCTAACGCACTTCATGATATCACAGTCGTTCAGTGGGTAAGATACAACTTTAGATAACTGTGTTACGATGTTTGGTAACACTTCATTTTTGTTCTCAGGCAAACCGTGAATTTCCAAATTCGCATCGCGCATATTTTGATCTAAAGTGTTTATTTGACTTTTTAACTGAACAATAGTATTTTGCATAAAAATTTCTCCGAGCGCAAGTCAGCGTTCTCGCCTTGCAATTCCTGAACTGTCGCTTTCAGATCATTAATCTGGGCGATGTCAAAAGAGCCCGAGGATTTTAATTCTTCTAACTGTTTTCTAATATCATCTATTTCTGATCTAATTTCGCGTATCATATTCTTAACTTCCACTCGCATTGTATGACGAATTTCCTCCCGTATGATTTGGCGAATGTCATTGTTCTTATCGTCGTCACCCTCAGAGCTCTCGGCCAAGGTATCGACAGCTTGACTCGACTGTTGTTTCGGTAAACAGCTTGAACAAATCCAGGTAATACGCGCCACTTTATTGAGCCTTTTAAATGCTGTTGTGCTCAAATTAACACACAAATGATGATATAACTTATTACACTTGAAACATGTAATCTTTTCATTTTGCTTTACTGGTAATCTACAAATACCACAGTCATTCATCGTTTATCTGCAATAAATGTAGAAAAATCTCGAAATGATGTATCTGTCTACCCGCGGTATTCGAAGTCACGACCTCCGAAGCTATTATGACAACTCAACCGCCGCGCCGCGCCAACGAGTCCAAAATTGTTCACCAGCTCCCGGACTATTGTGTGTCACAAAAAAATATGTCTGACGGTAGATCAGCAAAGTAACAAGTTCTAAACGTCAAATATTGAATTTGTAATAAACCAAAAAAAAACAAAATTTTGAGTCACCTTCACTTTACACTGTTGTTTTTTAGATTTAGCACATTAAAAGCACTCAAAACAGATTGAAAGTTATGTGAGTAACTTTGTTAAAGTTTATTTATCCGTATTTCTATCACTATGCAAGCATTAAGCAACTCTTTGCACTGATTTTGAATATATACTTCAGAGCATACGACAACGTGACCGCACTCTCAAAGTCTAGATGTCAATATCCTCCACCTCGTCGTCCGAGTATGCCGAGGTCAGTGCGTACGCGTTGCACAACCTTGAGGCTATACCTCTCGGTGAGCTTGATAATGAGGTACGCTACCCTGTTCGACACACTGGAAATTTCCACAACGTTGTCAGAAAGGGACTTATTTACCAGAAACCACCTTGGGATTGTTGGTCTCCCTCGCGGAAGTACATTAGGTGGCCTGACTCGAGGGTTATGGTGTCCTCCCCCTCTCTTCGGACTTCACATAGCCTTAGGATATGCCACCTAATCTTCCCAAGTTCCACCTCAAGTTGCGCCACATGCGAGTCTAGCCGTAGCGTGCGTCCGTTGTACGTAGCCAGGGTCAGTCGGTTGTGGTAGCCTCCTGTATCTCAGAGATTCTTCACACCCTCTGCCCCGCCGTTACCGTGGTCCCCACCATGACCAGGAATGCCTGCCAGGCTGCCGGGAACTGGGGCCTTTGTTGCGTCTGCATGGGGAGCATTTGCCCATAATCGCCACGCTGGGCAGGCGGGTTGGCGATCGCAGGGCGTAGGTTGTCGCATATTATATCAGTTTTATAAAAAAATGAATAGGATCTAATTGTTAGTAAATCAATAGAAACAGTCTTGCCTTGTCTTCATTATATTAAAAAATCAAAACTCCTTCTTACCTGGACATTCTTCACCAAGTCGAAATGTTCAGCAAAGGACAGTAAGTACTTATAGAAGCAGCTACCACTTGCATAAGATACTGAACCTTCTGGAAAAGGGTAACCATTGAATTCCATCACCTGTGTGGGTGCGTTTGTTCTGAAAAGTCGTTTTAATCGTTTTAAATGGTTGGTCGTTAGGTATGTCAAAAAATAGTAAAGCTATGATTGGAAGGACCATCTGAATTTAATTTTATACTTTAAAAAAATATAGACAAGGATTCAACTGTAAGTACTTGGATACAAGTATGTTCAGAGAGTTGGGACCTCTGGTAGCAGATTAGGGGAACTGTGATAGGGGATAGGGTGGCAGCCAGATCGAATTAACACGCAATCGGGCCGTAATGTCGTTATTGGAGCGATTGGCGGAGGAAGTTTTCAGCTTCACCAATGATAGGGCCTGGTTAGGTGCGGTGTCGATTCGGGGAGGACCTGATATCACCTGGTCAGGGTCTTTCACAGAGTAGGTTGCCTAAGAACTACATACTCTTGGCCCCTGAGCCCCCAAGGAGCCGTGGACCCGAAAGGATTTTCGACCTCGATAATGAAAAAAAAGGTACAAGTATATTGACATGTGTCACATTAAATTAACGCTTCCAATCATAAATAATATAAATAATTTAATGACTGGCCCTTTTTTTAAATGTAAAGTAAACAACTTAACCAATTAATTTAATTTAGAATATAGAGTGTCACCACCCCTATTCAACCCGCGGTTGTCGTAAGAGACGTATAAGGGAACAGACTACGCAGGACAACAGCACTGCAAACAGAAGGAAAACTTGAAACAAACCCTTTTTTTTTTTTTTTTTTTTTTTTTTTTTTTTTTTTTTTTTTTTAACGTGTGGAAATCCCCTCGGACCGTCACCCCACCGGGGTTTGCGGCGGGGTGGTGTGTCGGACTCGAACCGACTAAAACCACACGGTGTGCCCTCTTTGCGCTTCCAGTTTAGGAGGGGTCCAGGTAGTTATCGCCTTCTGGACCCCTCCCAGCGCCGGCCCGCTCCTGGTGCGGGCTCCGTCTTCAATTATCCTCTCTTTAGGCGACGTCCGGCACACGCGGACGCCGCCCCCTCGCGGCTGGCCAACTAATGCGGGTGGAGGGGAAACCCACCCCGTCCACCCGCGGCCACACTCAGGGCGGCATGAGGCGCAGGTAAGCGCGCCTCCGCCGCCCGGTTCGCCGGCGGCGGATCAGGTCCGAGTGGAGGTCGTCCTCCCGGGCCTTCTCCGCCGCCTCCTTCTGCGAGATTACCTCCTCGCAGAAGGTTGCGACCGCGGTAAAACAACTGTCGCTACCGGCCATGGAGCGAATTACGGCCGGTAGCGAGAGATCTGCTCTGATGACTGCAGTGAGGGCCCGGCGCTGCGTCGCCCATGCGGGGCAGACCGCCAGCGTGTGCTGGGCCGAGTCCTCACTGCAGTCGCAGTGGTGGCAGGCGGGACTCAGTTCCCTCCTAGCGACCGAGTGCAGGTACTTTCCGAAGCAACCGTGCCCGGAAAGCACCTGCGTCAGCCGGAAGGAAAGGGCCCCGTGCTGCCGCCCTGCCCACTCGGCTATGACCGGCTGGAGAGCCTCCACGGCGGCGAAGCCAGCGCGTGGAGTCTCCAGCCGGAACGACCATCTAACCATGGTGGCTCGGCGAGCGGCTTCGCGCCACTCGCGCACGTCTTCGGGCGGAGGGCGAAATCCGCTCTCCGCCCGGAAGTCAGCCACTCGCCGATAAACTTCGGCGAGCACTTCCGCCTCCAAATCCCACGGGGGTGTTCCGGCCAAGGCGCAAGCCGCCTCGGTGGACACCGTGCGGTATCCGCGTATGGCTCTGACCGCCAATATCCTCTGGGGGCGCCAGAGGCGCGCCCTATTCGGGGCGGTCAGAGCCGCCACCCACACCGGTGCACCATAAAGCGCCATGGACCGGACAACCCCCGCGTACAGCCGCCTCGTGGGAACACTGGCCCCGCCCAAATTGGGCAAAAGTCGCCCTAGGGCGGAGGCAGTGTCCACCAGCTTCGGACCAAGCTGTCGGAAGTGCTCGTCGAAGAGCCACCTACCGTCTAGGACCAGACCCAGGTACCTCATCTGGGCCCGGACCGGTACGAGGACCGAGCCGACCTCGATTGAGGCGCCGGCGGGTGGACCACGACGGGGCCCATGAAATAATAGGGCCTCCGTCTTATCCAGGGCCACCCGTAATCCCAACGCCTCAATGCGCCCGACCACCTGGGAAACTCCCGTGGCGGCCAGGCGCGCCGCCTCCTGGAAGTTAGCCCCCCGGGCCGTGACTAAAGTGTCATCTGCGTAGCAGAGTACACCCAGCCCGGGGGGGAGACGCCCTCGTAGGGCCCAGTCGTATCCAATGTTCCACAGGAGTGGTCCTAGGACAGACCCCTGCGGAACACCGCACGACATGGCCCTGCGTCTCAAGACGCCATCTCGGTCCTCGTACATGACGGTTCGCTCCTCAAGGTAGTCTGCCACCAGCCGCCTCAGGTACTCCGGCACTCCGTGGTAGCGGAGCGCTTCCCTGATGCAGCTGAATGGCAGACTATTGAAGGCGTTGGCGATGTCCAAGGACACCGCCAACACCACTCCGCCGCAGCTCACGGCCTCCTCGGTCACGGCCCTAAGGCGCATTACGGCATCGATCGTCGAACGCCCCGCTCGGAAACCGAATTGGGCGTCCGACAGATCGGGGCCAACCTCGCAAAGGTGCCGGACGATGCGGGCAGAAAGCACCCTCTCAAAAAGTTTACCCGCCTCGTCCAGCAACACGATAGGCCTATAGGCCGCGACCGATTCGGCAGGCCGTCCCGGCTTCTGCAGCAGGACCAGCTTCCCGCATTTCCAGCGCTCAGGGAAGCGTCCGGACGCCAGGCTAGCGTCCAACACCCCCCTGAGGTGGTCCGACATGTAGTCGAGGGCTCGGGCCATCACTCGGGCTGGAACCCCGTCCGGCCCGGGGGCAGTGTTCTTGGATCTAATCCGTAGAACAGCCGCCCCTAACTCCGATTCCCTGACGGGCGGAACATCAGCCTCGCTGAACCCGTCGTCTCCGGCTGATGCAGCCATCGACGGGGGTGTGTGCTCCGCCCGCTGCGGGAATAGGCCCTCGACCACTTCCTGCAGGAAGCTGGGCTGGAGAGTCTCCGTAAGGGGGGGGCCCGACGTGCGGAGCTTTTGACGCACCGCACGATAAGGGCGACCCCAGGGGTCACGCTCGAGACTCTCCAGCATCTCCTCTCTACTGACATCCTTGGCGCGGCAGATGGCCAGCCTCAGAGTTTTCCGAGCTTCTCGGTACTCCTCATGAAACCGGTCCACCTCCTCACCGACCCCGCGGTGACGTCGCCGACTACGGGTGAGGGACCTCCGGGCACGTACACAGGCCGCACGGAGGTCCGCCAACTCCTGGGACCACCAGTAGACCTCCTTCCTTGGAGGCCGACAACCACGAACGCGGGGCATGGCCGCATCGCAAATCTGCGTAATCGCATCGCAGAAGCGACCAGCCCCCATGTCGACCTCCTCGGTCGGGGCCTGCGGAGACAGCCAAGAGTGAATAATGGCCGCCTCCTCTAGTAGGTCCCTGTCGAGCTTGGCGATAGCCCACCGCGGAAAGCGGGAAGGGCGCCGCGCCGCGTGACCCCTACTGGGGTCCTGGGACCGGGAGAGCTCGAATCGGATGTACAAATGATCCGAGAGCGTCTCGACCTCTTCCAGGACACACCAGTTCCTTACTCGTGCGGCGACTGCAGGGGTAGCGAACGAAAGGTCCACTATCGACCCCCCCCTGCTGTCGCACGCACGTGTTGGTGGAGCCTCTGTTCAGCAAACAGAGGCCCACCGACGCCGCCCACTCCTCAACGGCTTCGCCCCTGGCGTCCGTCGCAGGGGAACCCCACGCAATGGACTTTGCGTTGAAGTCCCCCAGGACGAGGACGTGCCCAGACACTAGTCGCCGCATCGAGGCCTCCAGGTTGTTAAGGAAGACCTCGAAGTCGTTCAAACTCCGGTTGGGGGAGAAATATACACCATAAATGGTGATTCCCCCCCAATCGGCGGCAACATATCCAGTACCCTTGTCTCTTAGCGACAAGGGCGGGGAATGAGCCGCCGTGGAGCCGACGACTGCCACGGAGCCGTCCCGGTCACCCATCCAGTTTGGACGGGGAGGGACAAAATAGGGCTCCGCGACTACGGCAACACCTATAGACCACTGTGCCATGGTTTGCAGGAAGAGATCCTGCGCCGCAGCACAGTGGTTCAGATTCGTCTGGACCAGGAGGTTGGAGACTTGATCCATTACTGGATCGTCTCTACAACCTCCTCCATGGGCGTCGGCGTCGACGCAAGATTGACGTCGGAGGTAGCCTGGGTCGGCAGGCTAGCCCCCGGCGTTTGCCGAGAAGCGCGGGGAGGCTTGCAGCCCCCCTGCCCCATCTGGTGATTGGCAGGCTTTTTAGCCGCCGCACACACGGGGCAATGAGGGGCGGCAGAGCACTCTGCCGCCTTGTGCCCGGGTTGACCGCAGCGGAAGCATAGACCGCTGCAGTCAAAACAGCTCTCGCACCTGGTGCGAGTGTGTCCCGCGGCTAGGCACTTGAAGCACCTCATCGGCCTCGCGGCCAGAACCGTGATTCTGGCATTAACGAAGCCGACGAGCATGCTTCCGGCGTCGCCCAACGCTTTGGCCGACGCCACGGGACAGCTGACCCACACCGCACCGAGGCCTCCCGGACCCGGACGGACGGTGCCGACTCTGATGGTGTCCGCGGTGCACCCAGTCTTCTCCATGACTGCATCGCGGACATCCTCCGACGTTATAGAGTCGTCCAGGCCCGAGATACGCAGTTCCGCGCATTTGGTGGGCCTGGCGATCTTAACACCGTCCGTGGCGGCGAAAATTCCCCGCAACTTCTCGGCGAATTTGTCGGCCGTCGCCGCGCCTTCAGCCCCAGGGAACTCGAAAACCCGAGCTCCCGTCTGGGCGCGGCGCAGCCTCATCCCCGCCTCCCCGAACTCAGTGGCGAGACCGGGCCGGGCCCCCTTGAAGAGGGCCGCATACGTGAGCCCGCCACTGGCCGCCTCCGGCGACAGCGTCACGACTACAGCCGCGGTTTTGGGCGGCTGCAGCTTCCGCGGCCTCTTTTTTGAGGCCGTTGCCACCGGTGGCGAAGGCTGGGCTTGGGCTGCTTTCTGAGCAGCCCTTCTAGCCCGCCTTCGGGACTTCTTTGAGCCCCTCGCCTGCTGCCAACCTTCGTTGGAGGGGGCAGGTGCAGAGGGGCCCGGCAGGGATGTCGGAGCGGGGAGCGGAGGGAAAGCCACTCCGCTCCTCGGCGCCGCTTTAGGCCTCGTCTTGGCCGGCATCTGGGCCGGCGCCTTGGCCGGCGCCTTGGCCGGCGCCTTGACTGGCGCCTGGGCCGGTGCCTTGGCCCCTCTCCTCGGCCCCTGGGGAGCCGGTGGAGTCGGGGCCGACGCCGCCGCCGCGTAGGAGACGCGGCCTCCCACCACGGGGAGCGCGGTTGGCGCAGCGGCCTTAGGCCGCTGCGATGACGCGAGCGGGGGGCGCACGACCGGCGCAGGGGGCAGTCTCGCCTCCAGGCCGGCCAGACGGCCGTCCAGCATACGCCCAACTGCGTCGAGAATTGACCGCAGTTGGGCGTCAGGTACCCCTGAGGTCGCGATAGGGACAGGGGGGGGCGCGGACGGGGCCTCCCGCTCGGGGAGGTTCGCCTGGAAGCGGGCGAACTGAGCGCTCAGCTCGTTCACCCGCTCCGTGAGTCTCTCGTTGGCCAACTGTAGGCGAGAGACATCGCCCACCAGGCCCTCCACGACCTCCGACAAAGCGGAGGAGGAGTCCTTAAGGGCCCTCACAAACGAGCCCTTTAGGTTTACGGACTTGGTGGCCACCTTTTGGATGACGGCCACCGCCGCTTTCGCCCTCTCCTGCACGGACACGGGAGCCTGGGGGGCATTTCCCCCCACCGGCTCCCGAACCTTGAGCAGGAGATCCGCGATCTCCTCCTCCGCTACGGCCTCGCCGTCCACCCGTACGCTTCTGTACGACTCCGCGTTTGAGAACGCGGAGCCTGACGGGGTCGAGACCGAGGCCGTTTTGCGTGCCCTCCCTCGGCGGCTACTTGCCACCTTTGGTGGCATCATCTCCTGGGACGTGTCGGTTTCCACGTCCCCTGAGCGTCCGCGTTTTCGGCTGTCGCTGCGATGTTCCGCTTCCATGGCCTCCGCGCCATCCGACGAAGCGGCGGATCCGGAACGCAGCCGATCCGATGCTCTTCGGCTCCCAGAGATCAGAGTCAGACTGACTTCTGGGAGCCCCATCGAGATGGGCGTTCCCGACGCCACCTCACCCTCAGTGGACGACCCATCGACTCCACTGTTCCTCTTCTCCCTTGCACCTTTCGTTTCAGTGTCCGTTTTGCTTGCCTTTTTTGTTTTTGTTTGTTTTCCTATCGTTTTTCTTAAGTTTTGGTTATCATTGTCCATAATAAATCCCACGAGTGGGGGAGAACTAAAGGTCCACCCGGGCAGAGATCCCCCATTACCCGGGCAAGCGTAAGTTTTTAACCCAACCGAGGGGTCCGCAGGTACCTCGGCTTGGAGTGCGCTCGCGACTGAACTTCCCATCAGCCATGCATCCCCTGGCCACGCACCAGAACACGGGATTCGGGGAATTTTTTAGAGAGGTTATCTTCCTCGCGGTCCGGGCGGTTAAGCCAAGACCCTCGCCCCCGATCAGAGCCGCGAGACTTAACCACAGCGCTCTTCTCGGGATTGCGATATGCCGACGGTTGACAGGGAGACTACGTCCCCCTGCCTGCTCGGTGGTAGTGTGAGTACACGCCGAGCCCGTCCTCCTTTCTCCACCGCTATCAGCGGAGAAACTGTGGCCCCTACAGGGCCCCGCCATCAGGTTTTTTACCGAGGTTTCCTCCTCCATGCTCCGAAGAGCGAAGAGCCAGCAGGGCAACCGGCAGACACGCCCACCCTGCTGGACCAGGCCTTGCCCGAGAGCCGATGAACGGCTGCCTCTTCTGCTAGAATATTGGCCGCTGGCGATAATCCTCTCCTCCAAGAGGACAAGGAGGAAACAGTACCATCGCCAGCGTTTCCAGGGTGCACCACGAGGAGGTTTTCTAGCCCAGCACCCCAAACAAACCCTATACCAACCCGTCTGGCCAGTGTGGTATAGTAGGCTAAAACCTCCCTTCTAAGGAGAGGCCTGTCCAGCAGTGATGTCCAGCAGTGGACTATTAAAGGCTGTTCATGATGATGATGAACCTAATAATTGACATACCTTAAGTTCTTATATTGATTCGTAAACAAAGGCATCCCAAATTCATCAGTTTCGGTTCTAGGATCAAATCTCCAAGTACCTCCAATGAAGCTGGTGCCTTCGAACACTTTGAAATTAAGGCCATAATTCTTCATGTACCGCGCGGTGGCTAAACCTGAATAACCAGCTCCAATTATACATACTTGAGACGCTGGAGTAGACTGGAACAAAGCAAAAATGAAAATTATATAGTCGCTTGGTGTTTGCTGTATAGAAGAATTTTAATTGCCTAACAATATACAGGGTTACTGGTTAAGTTAACCAACAGGGCCGAAGTAGGTGGTTGATTATACTAAAAAATAAAATAATATTAATTGTAAAATATTTTGCTTCTTTGATGAATATTTAAAAAAACTATGACAGTTAAGTTGCAGATTTGTTTAAAAAACATGTACGTATTCATAATGTCAACTAGAAGACGTTGTGTGTTTGGATGTAAAATTAACTAGGTTCTACCAGGTTGTACGCTAATTCGGGATAATAATAAAATAATAACATTAAATTTATTTAAAAAAAAATATACATAGAAATTTACAGTTTAATACACGTTAGTTACAGGACAATTTTAGTCGTCGGTAAGATCGAAATATCCATGTTCATTTAGTGAAAAACTCTGCCTTTGCAACCAGGTGACACCTGTATCTTAAAGGACAGTACTCGGCCATACATTTATACAATATCGGATAATACTTTTCTAATGCAGAGGAGTTGTGAATGCTTTGTGTATTAAGATTAAGCTAGCATGTTATGGTGCTATGTGTGTGCTAAGTGAATGTGTGTTTGTGTGTTTGAGTGCATGTGTGTCTGTGTGTGTGTTTAATTTGTAGTTTTATACGATGTAAGTTAGCAATGACTCTGTACCGAAGTAGTATTGTTTTAGTAGCCATTCGTCTGTGTGTCTGTTAATTTCGAGTATATTGAGTTCTTTGTGTATTTTTTTGTAAATGTGCTTGCTTAGTATTTACCAGTAGTGCTTTGCAAACGAAGTCCTATGTTGTGAGCCCAGCGGTTAGTTCCTTCTTTTGTTTTTATTTAGAAGGGAATACTGTTATGTTTCCTTAGAGACTGTCGAAGCACATAGAGTAGTCGAGCGGTAAGTACTTTGCAATCAGCATAGAGTTCTGAAGTTGAGTATCTGAAAGGCCTCCTAAATATTACCTTCAGCACCGCTGGCTGCGCTCTCTCCACTCCAATGAGCATGATGCCAGTTGGTTTTTGCATGCGTGAGACGTTAAAGAGAAGGTGTGTAGGGTATGTATACTGTTTTTGTTAAATTCAGGGTTAAAAAGTTCTCATTTAACCAAGTCATAACGTCTTTTAGAACTGTTTCCGCCTTTGTTTTTATGTCCTGCCAAATAAGAATAACTGTGTCGTCGGCATAAGCATAGATGTCACTACCGAGGAGGGGTAGTTGGCAAAGCTCATTTACATATATTTGGAAGAGTGTCGGCCTTAAAATGCTTCCTTGCGAGATGCCGTATGTTATATATTGGTTATCACTCTGGTATGTTTCGATCTTAACGCGTTGACTATGTTTTGTCAGGTAGTCTTTAAACAGATCTAAAGCCTAGGGACAGAAACTGTGTCAAGCACAAGCTCTATATAAACATAAATAGCTTATCAATTACACAGTTATGTACATTATTATTACAGATTCTATCACAACATTCAATAACTTCAATAGGAAAATCGATTAATTTTAATCGTTTGTGACATTCACTTTTATACAGATTTATTTCTTCTTTAGATCTATCGCCCCAAACGACATTATTGCACATTACGGCGTTACCATTGTTCTTACCATTTCCTGTGTTACTTGGGTTGCCCTAACTCACGTCACTGTGCTTAAATCTCATAAACTTTCTAAAAATAACACCCTGAGGCCATAAATTTTCATCCAAAAATAATGGCACTTTATTTTCAGAAACAAAGAATTTGTACGCCTTGTAACTCGTTTGTACGTTAGTATGAATTTGCTCCAAGGTGACTACTTCCTGAGTTTACATTGTATTTAATTCACAATATCGGTATCTAACATATCTTTAATATATCCGTAACGTAATATTTGAATATTAAAAAAAAAAACAATGTAATGAATATTTTTATAATATACGTCAAAGAAAAAAAAATACATTTAATTTCATTTTTGCTATTATAAACCATCTACTTCGGCCCAGTTTTTTAAGTTAACTACAATTTTGCTTGGAAATTATAAAACAATGTATTAACTACACAAAAACAGTAAAAAAAGTAAATGGTTTAAGTTTAAAAAAATTGTATTAGGCTAAATTTTGGCAATTTTCATATAAAATCTTAAAAGCCCAATTTCTTGAAATGGTTAAGTTTGGGATATGAAATCTATCAAAAATGATGGCTGCTACAACCCCCTAAAGTATCTAGGTCGACTTAAGCACGTCGACGTACGACGACGATCTGCTGAGACCCGATGGCTCCAGCACGCAGGTATCTGACGGGAAGCGGCCGGATGGCTTGACTTTGGCGCCGTTGAAAAACAGCAAGTGCTTGGTATGGGACGCTACATGCGTTAGCACAGTTGAGGTCTTACATCTGAGTCGCATCGTCCAAGCTCCGGCAGCGGCGGCGGAGGATGCCGCTAGTAGGAAGCGATCAAAATATGCCGCAATGGAGACGCATTATTATTTTGTGCCCATTGCGGTGGAGACTTTAGGCAGTTGGGAGTCGGAAGCTAAAGAGTTAATTGCGGAGATTGGTCGCCGAGTTAGGGATAAATGTGGTGACTTCCGCTCCGGCTCGTTTCTGGTGCAAAGGATGTCCGTTACAATTCAGCGTGGCAATACTGCGAGTATCATGGGCACCTTTGCACCGGGAGCGACGCGGGGCGGGTTATATGATCAGACTTGAATTAAAAAAATATATGTAATTTAAATGTATGTGATGTATGTATTTAATTTAAATGTGATTGTATGATGGACAATGTAGATTTGTGTGTGTATCGGGTGTGACATTATGTAATTTAATAGAATTGAATTCAGTAGAAAAAAAAAACTCAACCAGTACATTAAATTTGTGCATGAAAGTACCAATCAAATCAAACTGATCGCTGTAAACAATGACCATATTGCAAGATGAAATGATAGTTTTGCATTGCTTTGATTAAAAAGCGTATTTGAGAAACTAAAAAAGCAAGATAACTATATTTGTTAACAAAGTTTCTAAATATTATTCTTTGTTTCCAATAATAGATTAATGGTGCGCAGATTAAATAATACTAATCGTTACATTGTACACAATAATATACATTGACAATAATAATAGGGGCGCAATATCGATATAAGAATATTATAAATGCAATACAAAATGTATTTAAATATATATAAAAAGTATTTAAATATATTAGTTAAAATAATTTAAATGAATGACCACGGGAAGCAATGTCTAATTTATACATTAGGTTAATGTTTACCTGCTATTTTAAATTACAAATTTAAGGCCAGTTCAATGAAGATATGATCAATCCAAATCAAATGAGTATAAAAATAAGACTATTATTTCCAAAAACCTCCATAGTATTAACAACAACTTTTTATACAAGGCTTGAATATATATTTATAGAGTATATACGTGTATTTACATAAGAATCAAAAATACCTTACCTCTGAGAGTGCGTTGCTGACTTGCAAATATATATTTAAAGCTACTATTATTGTCGCCACAGACGGTCGCATTATTACAAAATATAGATTATAACAACAGATTCACGGAGGGTGTCTTTGCACTGCTCGATTCCGACGAATACTGATGGTTTAGATAGTATTAAAATGAAGTAGTCTATCCAATAAGAAGGCCGCAATTATCAATGAAATTAATAGTGAATACTTAGTCAAGAACCACATATTACGCTTGGAAAAGAGAGGGAATAATTTTCCGTTTGGTCTCTCCGGTTTCGTAGAAAATTTTGGAATGTAAAATACAGTTTGTAACAATTCATCATGATGTATGCGCCTATAAGTCAGTCATACCTTCTTAAAAGTTAATTATTCCCTAATAATATTATAAAAATGACTTAAAAAAAGATGTTAATAAAATGTTAATAAACTATACAAGGACTTTATTTTGCTGTATTTACCTACACCTATTGTACTGACAAATAAAAGGAATCTATAGCAATAATATTGGGTGATTAGCAACACTTTTCGGTATTCAATGAGTCATATTAATTTTATTACTATGTTTTTAAATGAACTGATGCTTCAAAAACGTGAATCATGAGTTCCTGTTTCGTTGTTAGACTACTAAGAACTTATTGTAAGAAAACTGTTTTAAATATATAAGAAAATACGTTATTTTGAAAATTATACATTCAAATCGATCATCGGCCACGACAGAAGGGGTGGAATTCAACGCTTTAAACAACAATTTGACGACCGGATGGCGTAGTGGTTTCTGTAACGGACTGCTATTCCAAAGGTCGCGGGTTCGATTCCCGCTCAAGTCAAACATTTGTGTGCATGAACATTTAATGTTTGATTTGGTCTGGGTGTTTCTATGTATAATATGTATGTATTTACAAAAAAAAAGTATATATGTATTTATATCAGTTGTCTAGTACCCATAGTACAAGCTCTGCTTAGTTTGGGACTAGATGGCGTTGTGTGTATGTGGTAGAATATTATGGTAGAATATTACAATGTTGGAGAAGTAGTTGCAGAAATTTAATTTAATCAATGACAAGGCACTCAAGTTTATTAAATACAAACATACGCCCGCAGCTTCGGCCGCGTGGATTTCGGTAACCGTGATCCTTTTTGTTAATATTATATATATAAAGGGAGTTATAACTATTTAGAATATTCTCAATTTACTATATTTTACATTACTTTTTTTTTGCCTTTAATGTATCTCGTCTGGTTTAAGCAGCGTACGCGAGTAAAGCTCCCAGTAGGTAAATTTTTTTGCGACCTCTTCAACAATAATCGTTATATTTCAGTCAATTTATATAAAAACAATAATTTATACACCTAAACCTTCCTCAGGAATCACTAACTATTGGTGAAACCTGTACAAAAAGCCATTCGGTAGGCAACAGACAGCAGACAGTCATACAGACAGACGCAGCCGGGGGACTTCATTTTATAATACTCGTATGTAAGGATTTAAAACCAAAAAATAACGCAATAAAAACAGCATACAATAATCAATACCTTGATCACGCCTCTCTATAGTTCTCAACTCAGTGTAATTGGATTGAGACCTTGATCTATTGAATCCCCATTCTGCACATGTACTTATTTAAAATCTCAACTACTTATTACGGCTTCTACTTCAGAACTGAGAACAGTTTTGCCGCCTATTTTTTATTATTATTCCGATTGTACTTAGCTGCTGCAACCCTGTATGATAATTTATGTGTTTGTAAATATTTTAAAAACTTGTCTATGTCTCCTTTTTTTATATGAAACGGGCTTTTTACCTCTGGCATGAGGGTAGATCCTGAGATAGTGTACGGGTAGATCTGTAAAGATATTACCCAAACCAACAATATACAATTAATTCGTCATCACAAACTAACACATAAGTTAAGCACACCATGTTAACTATGCCATTCAAACTATATCATTGAATAGTAACGTAACAATTAAGAAGATACATTTACATTAAAAAAAGAACCCTATTCAATAACTCGTTTTGTAATTAAGAAATTGTTATAATGTTGTTTTTTATTTATTATCAAGATGATTTTTTGAGTCTTCTTCAATAAAATAGTTTAGATTAAAATCAATAGCATCATCAGCATAATAATCAATTTTATTATAAAAGGCATCTGTAGGACGGTTGTTATTGTAGAAATGTGTGTGAAAATGTATACGTTAAAAACAAACTAAATGTTATCATCATCAGCCTATCGCAGTCCACTACTGGACATAGGCCTCTCGTATTACAAGCCACTTAGATCGATTTGGGTTTCTCTCATCCAGCTCCTGCCAGCCATCTTGCGCAAATCGTCACTCCACCTGGCCTGTGGGCGACCTACACTACGTTTGCCGAGACGCGGTCTCCACTCAAGAACTCGTTTTCCCCAAATTGTGATAAATGCGCGGAATACTGTGGGAGAACCATGCTTTGGCCCAAATTTGCCGGCTCAACCGGAGCGATGCCACGGTCTCATAGCAAACCGGTGTTAAGTCATTCTTTCGTTACATTTTCCGATTGAGTGAGGTTATCGAACTTTCAAATTCGCTCTCGCCCTAATTCTGGTAGGATGAAAAGGACCGCAACGCATTTGTGACTGCTAAGTTGGAGGTGTCCATCGGCGGCATAGTCACATACCATGAGCTCACTCTGCTCGTTTGCTACTATACCATAAACAGATAATATATTGAGCACTGATATTTAAAAATATACATACATAATTTTACCCCTTACCCAAAACCGACTAGAGAGAAAGCTTCAGGAGTGAGCTCTCTGAGTCCAGTGGTAAAGAACCTGGGGTTACATATACACTCGACACTCTATAGTATTAAATTTATGCGTATGTTTATATGGTGTGTATGTATGTCTTATAGGTAAATATAATAATTTATGTAGTAATGAATTTATTTATTTTAGTTACATCTAATGTTTATCTCTTAATTACCAAACTATGAAATACGACAGATTTGATATTTTATATTTGCACCAACCGCATCACCTGTTTACATCACCTAAAGGTCGACTGGGAGAGAATGCCACATGGCTGTAAGTCCGCCTTTATACAACATGTGCATTAAGTTTAAATAAATAGTAAGTACACCTTAATAATTCTGTGGTAAATTGCAGTTTCATATTTACCCTAAGGCGAAGTTTGTTAGTATTCAATAGAGAGACAGGTCCTTCCTAATATGAGATATATAAGACTGAAACTGGGAAACTAGTACGTTCATTGAAATACCTGTGCAATATATGACAATATCGACGTCTTTAAAGGTATCGTCTTCAAATACAGCACCATTTGGTGTGAAATGTTTTAAATCTGATTTATTTATAAGTCTTAGGGAAATTTGGTGGATTGAAGGTTAGATTTGTTTTTAGTATACGATGACTGTGCACCAACGTCAACGTTACATTAGCCAGTCAAAGTCATTTCCTGAAGGTCCACCACCTATCGGTAACACACATCGATCACGGTAATCTTGAACATCTTTGTAGGCGTGACTATGCATTCTAGAAAAAAAAATCGGTATAAAGAGAAAATTCAAAATTTACTATTAACTTTTTCACCGTAGTATAATAATAATCATAATTTATTTAGATAAAGAGTACAAAAATTTATAATAAATGGTTCTATGGTTAATAATAATGGTTGGTAATATAATAAATTTATAATAAAAATACAGTTGTTTGTTTGCCCGAACTAGGTTGAACCTGTGTCCCGGGCAAAGAAGTGCTTACAAACTATTTTATAAATATAAATCTACATACCTACAATTTAATTATAACATGCTAAAATCCTACATAAGCAACTAGCAACATCAGTGATAAGTGGGCCAAAAATAATGCACTATTACCGTTCAGCAAATTTTCATTTACATATTTCGAGTAACTGCTCAGTTTGTTCATACGACAAATTTGTAAATAATTATGTAATGTGTTTTTACAGCTGACATAATTTTATTTTTAAATTCTTAGCTCTCTATTTAATCTATTATACAGAAATGGACCTAAAAATTCTCACAATCAGGCTCAAAGTTCATTTATTCAAATAGATTTTTTATACATATACATAGTCTGTATCTCAATACAGACTATGTCTTTTCGTCTTTTGTTAGAAATATCAGCGTGATAGGTAAGTAATGTATGCTGTTTTAGTACTGTGTGATACACAGTCATCACCTTGTACGATTTATATAATATAGTTGATGGAAATAGGAAAGGTAGGAGGCTTTTTTAGAATCGCTCGCTGAGCTCTTTCTAGAGGCAAAATAATAGTTTTTAATGCTCCACCCCATGAGGTTATACAATATTGGATGATTGATTGACATAAAGATAAACTAATAAAGATAACACTTGAGTGATCAACTTTAAATCTGCTATAGCTCGCAATTTTTTAAATACATTTACGAGTATTAATTTACGAACTCTATTTACTAAACTTTCAATGTGTGGCAATATTTTATGTTATGGGTTGCCTGGATAGCAGTACAATTACACAATGGCACTGACGAGTTTTGGCAGGAGAGGGGACATTGGTTAGCGTATATGGAAGTGTTAGATACAGCGTGTTGATTTTTGCGCATGGAAAAGTGAATATATTTAGTCTTGTCAGGATTTAATGTTAGAAGATTATTCTTCAACCAAGTATACACAATATTAAAGCCAAACTGGGCGCTCTCATATAATTCTTTGCTAGTTTTTGCGGTAAAAATTAGAGCCGTGTCGTCAGCATATGATATTATCTTTTCATGTCTTAAGGTAAGATTACATAGGTCGTTAATATATACCAAGAAAAGCGTAGGACTAAGGATACTTCACTGGGGAACGCTAAAACGTGGTATTTTTTCATCATCGCTCATGACATTTCCTATTTTAACACATTGGTGCCGATTGCTTAAATAGTCTGCGAAAAGTTTAAGCTGCGTATCTCTTATACCAAGAGCCTGCAATTTGTTTAGATGTGAGGAAATGGATATAGTGTCAAATGCTTTGGCAAGGTCGAGAAAAATCCCTAAGGTCTGATTACCTTTGCCGAGTTCATTTTCATATAATTTATGCCGAACCAAGGGGTGGACAAGGTCAACTACCCATCAGTCATGCATCCACTGGCCACGCACGAGAACACGGGATTCATGGGAATTTTTAATAGAGGTTATCTTCTTCGCCCTCTGGACGGCTAAGTCAAGACAAAGATATTATAAAAGAAAAAGTGAAAGTAAAGTTCTGCAACTATATGAAGTTTCCTGCACGTGTAATTTTTTTGACAAAACCTAATAGGGGGGACTTTAAAGCTTACTACATACGACAGAAACAGAAAAGACTTTAAAGACATTGGAAACGATAGAGGAAGTCAGTTTTTGCGAAGATCAACTGGATCCAAACCCGAAAATTGGCCAAAATGAGGTTATTGATCCTCTAGGCTTATCACTAGTTGCAATAGCTAATATAGAATAATATAGTCTAGATTTTTTTATTAAATAAACAATTGTTTCGAATGATTGAATTGTTTTTATTTGTATTTAATAAGAATACATTTTGGCAAGTTCAAATGTCATTATTAACACGGTTGGTTAAACTATTCTCTGTTGTCAAAACAAGTAAACTATTTTTTGTAACTTAAATTCGTCACGCCCAATAAAATAAGTGTGCATTCCTTAAATTATTTGGTAAATTTATGAGCCATACATATGATGATGTTTTTTTTTTTTTTTTAACTTTTTTATGCAGCCTTCAACGTATAAAAATGAAAGTGTGACGTTAATTAGCCTTACTCATCTACGTGATAATGATCGTAGTAATAAATCCGCGGACAATACACATATCAGCACAGTATGTGAAAGTTTCTGATAATATTTCGGCGCTTTCCTCAACCGATAGACTACTGGGTCTTTAGCATAAGCTGTAAAAAGTGAACCAAATAAAGCCCAATTCGTACCTTTAGTTTTATTTCTAAAATTATAGGGAGTTCTTTGCGGAACCTGTGTACTCCTTGTTATGAATTCATACACGATTGAGTGGTGATCACTACAGAATGCGCCCGGGAGGACACGCCATCCGGATATCAAGACATCGCACACTGGGGCTAAACCGGGAAAAAAAGTTCAAATCTGCCTACAGCCTTCAATTACTGTTGACCGATTTCCAGGTTTTGGGTCGAAAACCTATATGGCAGTTCCCGCTGACCTAGAATCACGAAATTTGGCAAAAAGAAACGTCTTACAGCACAAATAAAGGAATAATGCCAAAAAATAAAAAAAGTTTAATAAGTAAATTTTGGTACTTACAAATTTTCACGAAAATCTACGTAAAATCTGGGTAGGTACGGAACCCTCGGCGCACGAGTTCGACTCGTACCTAACCGGTTTTTTGTATTATGCCTAATAGTATGATATGTTCTCCTGTTTACATAACAAAAGTAAAGTTAAGTTTTACTTGTATAGTATGGTGTAAATAAATAAATAAATAAACAAATTAGAAAAATTTTGACATCACAGGCACTGCTCTACTCGTGTAGCTCATGACGACTTTGCAGAAGGATGCGTATGACGGCCGGTAGTGAGAGATCTGCAATGAGGACCAGGCGTTGCGGCGCCCAAGCTGGGCAAATTGCCAGCGTGTGCTGAGCCGAGTCCTCACTGCAATCGCAGTGGTGACAGGCGGGACTCAATTCCCAATAATAATAGTTGTATTAGTAGTATCTTCATTACACCCGTGCAAAGCCGGGGCGAATCAAATAGCCAAGGGTAGATTTATTTCCTCTGAGCTCCTCATTTAGAATGACTTGTTTTGGTTCTTAATTTCACATAAATTACATTTGTACACTCGTAATATTTTTTTATTAGTAGATAAATTAAATATATAATACACTACATAAACTGTTTTTTTAAGATTTTAGAGCCTCTGTGGATATCTCTTGGATAATATTTAGTTATTGTTATTTAGGAACAGAAAGTAAATAAGTCGGAGAAACTACTGCTAAATAGAGTAAAGACATGTCGCAATAAGGTTTTAATAATTTATAATTTTTTAAAGTAACTTTCAATTTCTTTAAGTAATAGGTGTATCTATTTATTATTCGCTATTATGATTGTATAAATCAAAATTGTTGCACTATTCATTTATTATTGCACTATTATTTTTGTTGCACTATTATTATCTCCCTCAGCTTCATAGATAGATAGATAGATACTCTTTATTGCACACCATAATTAGGATACATGCGATGATACATACAAAAAAAAAACAACGCTACAATGGGCGGCCTTATCGTAGCCTGCGATCTCTTCCAGGCAACCTTTAGATGGACTATACTAGGTATATAGTAATATGTAGCGTGTGGTGCGCATTTACAACTTCCGTATATTAACTAATGTTAGAAACATAATTACACATACACGAATCATCATCATCATCATCAATATCAAGTATACATACAACTCTCACACTCCTTTCTTGTAATGTCTTTAAACCAAACGGTTATTCGGTATCGTTCTTTTAGAAAGGAGACATTTAATAAATCAAAGGTCTTATATAAATATTTCTTTATTTTTAATATAGCCATCACAAAATAGTTTAATACAAAGTAGCAAGTAGTCTGGTGAAAATTAACAAACAGTGAATCAATTAGTGATGGCATACAATACGTTTTCCACAGATCTAGAACACGTAGGTGGCCTTATTTGTATATGTACAGAAACTTATGTAGAAACTCTCAGGCTAATGTGTGCATTCATGCATACACTGGGACTGAGCAGAAATCGAACCCGTGAAAATTTATATTGCAGTCGATAGCTTTATTGTCGCGCTAGTCTTAGTTAACGCTCTTGACAACAATAGTGGAATTCCTTAGTATGGGTTACGTCTAATCAATGATTTTCATGATCAATGTTTATAGCGTTTATTCTTGTTTGATCAATATTCTTGTATTTAAAAATAAAAAATAATATTTAAAAGTCAAGTTATCTTGAGCAAAAACCCAGGACTCCGATAAATTTTCGATACGTACTCTACACGTATCGAAAACTTATCGGAGTCCTGGGTTTTAATGGGTCCTGAATATTGATCAAACAAGAATAAACGCTATAAACCACTCAAGAATATGTACGATAAACCCCTTAACTGGTTGATTATATTAGTGATTATATGTTGTATGTATTTATAAGGACATTGATTGCTATTGGTTTAGTGGTTAACAATCTACGTAAGCCACAGGGTACATCTGCCACAACCATTTGTTCTGCTTCTGGGTACAATTTGCGTATAATACGTAGTACATGTGTAATGACTAATTAGTAATAATAAACGTATCATATTGATTTCTAATAAGATCACTTAAATATAACAACAACAATTTTTAAAGCTAATAACAGTTGCAAGAAAGTAAAAAACAAGGGAGGAAATTAAATTAATTATTAATTATTATTAGTAATAATTAAATCTGTTTATCAACAGGCTGGTTGTCATAGTACAGGCTCTGTCTACTTAGGAATCAGATGGCGGGGAGTCAGATGTACTAAACAATATCACATATAGATCCTAGTCGTCAAAAGGACATATTTCTTTACTTGGATTGGGATTCTTTTTGAATTGGGTGTCACTAATGATGTGATAGTCATAATCTCGGTAATGGAGTAGGTCTTCTAACAATGTCTTCCCGCTGAACGTGAACATTGATGTATACACTGGTGGCAATAGAGGCACGCCCGCTTCTTTGTGTAGAGCTTCAAAATATTTGTCCTGAAACGATATAGTGATCCTTGCTTAACTGTGCGCTCTAAATGCAGACTCTTAAGAACATGTTTTAACAAAATTGAGTTCAAACTTTGCAGAACTTTTTGAGTTTTTGAAGCGTACACAAACCAACTTAACATTTATATGTAGTCCACCGTTTGAGCTCAAATTTTGAAACGATTTAGAACCCGTTACAAACATTGTTCTCATATATTTTTTGCGTTAATATTTTTTTTTCATTTTTCATCAATGCAACCACAATATGCCATAGCGAAATCTAGTAATTTTATACAAAATTCGTACGCTACTTCTAAACTACGACTGTTTTATCAATTTTTTAAAGAAGAAATTTCAATTTCACAAAAAAAAATATTTATGGAAGAATCTTTTGTAAAAATTCAACACCGATAAGGTAGAAACAGAAGGTGTGATCAGATTGTGTAATCTAAAAATGAGTGTAAGTAAAAAACTTACTAGATTTTGTCCAACACTGTTGACATCTGTTATTTTGAATTGTGACTCTCTCAGCATTTGTACATGCTCTAGCCAGTGACGTATCATTGAATCTTTGGTAGGCAACTTGAACTGGCCTGCGGCTAACGCTGCTGAATATTGTGCCTGTAAAAGAAGTATACACATGTTTAATACATTTATCTATAACAAAGAATAAGTGATGAAATATGAACGGCAACTGACCTGGAGATCCAGAACTTTAGCGAAAAATGGCTTGCAAATTCCTATGAATGTCATAGTGGGCTGATTGATGTTTACAACCGCTTGATATAAAGGCATAACGTAGTTCTCTGTCGTTGTTACACCGCTGGATTGAGTGCTCAGAAACGGGTGGTTGTAGTAGAAACCTGAGGTGTAAAAGCAGTCACGATCTCAACTATTTAAAAGGGATCAAGTCTATTGGCGACAATCGGGCATTCCGAGCCCTCTTATTCAAGAGGTCAAACCGCCGGATTCGTAAGTTTAACATTTTAATATTCAAAAATACCTGTACAATATATGACGATATCGAAGTCCTCAGTAGTGCCGTCCTCAAACACAGCTCCATTCGGAGTGAAATATTTCACATTTGGTTTACTTATGTAGTTCCCAGGAAAGTCTGGCTGATTGTAGATTTTGAAAGACTTAATAATATGATGACTGTGCACCAGTCTCGAGGTGACGTTAGAAAGCTGCACGGCAAGATCGAGTCCTGATGGACCAGCTCCTATGAGCATCACGCTTTGGCCACGAAAATCTTCAGGGTCCTTATAATCGTGACTATGCATTGTTTTTCCTATAAAAAAGAATAAGTTTTTCAAAAAAACAAAGAAAAATAATATCTTAGTTTTACATGTAGGTGTTTTAAAAGTTTTTTATAGTTTTTATATGAGTAGTACCACTTTGTATCATACGGCAAGAGGTATGTTATTATTAGAACAATCAAATAAAACCTTTATTATTATTACTCTTTCACATGAGTGTGGGACACTATTTATTCTGCCCCATCCATTTTATTATTTGAATTCAAACATGCAACTTAGAATCAAAACAGCAAGGACGACCAATCTAAACATGTTTACCCACGTTCTAGAACCTGTAGTAAGTATATGCTAGCCTTGTTTAGTTTAATAGTAATTTGTTTTACCACAGTGGCATGTATATCAAAGCAATGTAAACAGAGCTTATAAAGATTATTAACAAACTAACGTAAAGAGCTAGTTTCACACTTAAGCTTAAGGCAGACTATTTGTCAAACTGGGCCTAAGTTAGTTGACGTGGGTAGCGATCCGATTCGATCTAAATAACCACAGCTCTCTGACTCAAATATCTCAATCACAAATGCAACTAAGAAATTACCTTTATATAACTCTTGTCCTTTGATGTGCGGTATTTTGGGTGTACTGTATTCCCCGGTTGCTACGACAACAAAATCACATTCTTCCGTATAATTTTGCCTGGTGTCAGTCTTCATATACGTTAGGTTCCAACTGTCTCCCGTCCATTCTACCCAAGTTACCAGACTTCGCACCTGAAATGAACAAAAGACACATGGGTAAGCAAAAAGGTAATATTCATTCATCTGAAACTACATCTAACATTTTATAGACGAGTTTTTAAGCAATCAGAAATAATTTTGAAAACCAAGAAAATCGTAACTTATCAATATTGGACTAGCCGTATTTGAAAGTCAAAGTCAAAATTTCTTTATTTCATAAGTTTAAAAGTATATGCATATTTGAAATCGTCTTTTTATGGGCACTAAAGTCATAGAACAACACACACTATAGCAACAATCTGTTTTGTCAAATATTTATCAAAATGAATCCAATCTATTTGAGTCTTATGAGAAGAAAGGACATGACTTCTCTTTTTTCATTACCTACCGTTAATTAAATATACTGCAAGTAATATACCAACTAACAAAAAATTTACTAGTTTTATTTAGTAGATATACCTATAAGTAGGTAGTTACAAAATCTTACCTGAATGTTGTCCATCAATCCAAAATGTCTAACGAAAGATTTAATATACTTATAGAAGCAACCTCCACTGATAAACGAACGAGTACCTTCTGGAAATGAATAGTCTTGGAATTCCATTATCTTATATGGAGAATTTGTCCTGTAACACAAATGTTAACTTTATTAACAGGTCTGTCACACCTCGAAGATCTGCAACGATTGCAATGAAATGGCATCAATTGCTTGTCAATGTTAACCTTCTTCTAAATGAAACGTCTATCTGCAGCCGCTTCATCCACTTTCATTGACCATCCGTTTATCAATACGTAATCTAATTGCAACCCCGGCCCAAGTATAGGCATTTTTAAGTTTAAGTTGTTAACCCTTATTTTGAATTCGACCGGCTGCACGCACATGTACTTTAAAAAAATCATAAACATTTATTTTTCATAAACATATTTTATTCAAGTAATACAAGTAAATGCTAAACAAATTAATTGTTTAACGATTTGAAACTAAATTTACGAGCAGGAAACTATTCAAATGCACCTTTTTGAGCAAAAAGGCTATGCCGTGAAGGTTTTTAACTTAACGCGATTTATTTATTAGCTTTATTTATATTATTTATTCTGTTGGATTGAATTTCATATGTGATATTTTTTGTTATATACATAATGCATACATCCACTGACAAAACAACTTATTTCTTTCGATTTTTTTAAAATAAATATACCTACTAAGTGATTGCTGGCACGTCATTCAAGGCAGTGCAAAATATTTACATATAAGTGTGATAAGTTGTATATAATAATACTAAACTTTTAAACTGAAAATCATTAGTGTAAATTAATCTCATTCAAGTTTTAGTACTTGTACCTAGAGAGCGTAGTTTAAAAAAACTTTAATGGAAAGAAGGAAAAAATGAATAGGCTTTTTCTATTTAAAGGACAGGTTACCTAAAAATGTATGTTATAAAACACTATACAATTTTATACATATTATGATAAACTATTAGTGCAGTATGTACGACTATTAATTAGTAAACTATCGTTACAGCACAGCTGTAGAACTTACCCGATTTGTAGATGTTTATTGCTGGCCCCATTATACAATTATAAACCGGCTTATTTCTAAGAATTAATAATAATGAAAGTATAATATATCAACATTTTTATCCGAAAGTATCCTAACTAGGAATGCATTTCCCTGTCTTGTGGAGTGTCACTCGGGCAGTCAAGCCAACTGGGTGTCATAGTTCTTCTGTAAGGCGCTGAAAACTGCCCACGTATCAGAAGCCATAACTTACCGTAGGTTCTTATATTGGCTGCTAAATATAGGTAATCCATCTTCATCTGTACCCACTCTAGGATCGTATCTCCAGGTGCCACCAATGTTACGTGTAGCTTCGAATACTGTATAGTTGAGGCCATAGTCTTGCATATACTTCGCTGCGGCCAAGCCTGAGTAACCAGAACCGATGATGCATACTCGAGACGCTGGGTTAGACTAAAATAAGGAAAAATGTTTGAGAACACCTTGAGAATATTGGAGAAAATATTTGTGCCCACGTAGAAGCTATTTAATTTTTAGGGAAAAGTTACAGAATACTTATCCTATAGAAATAACACTTTAATATTTTGTATTGCCCAGATAAAATAAATTTCAACACTTAATAAACTGATGACCTACTAAAACTTAACTATAGAAAAGCTGAATCATAATCGGATTTGCTCTACAGGAGCTATGTTATAATAACACTATTTTTTTTTTGCGCTAGAGTTTTGTAAATACTCTACTTAAATTCAGCTGGCACTTTTGAAAAAAAAACAATTCAATCAATCTACTCCACCCATTACAAAATTGGTAAAATACAGATAAAGGTATATTTTTTTAGATTTATCAATTTAGGCACTTTTAGCGTAAAAATAATAAAAACAGAATAAAAAAAAACACAATTACTTGAGCGAGCACTTGTGAAGAAAGTAAGTGTAACAAACTCAACCCTATTAATAGCCCACATGTCCGATACATTTTATGTTGTGAATAGTTAGTATAGTTGTAGCAAAACGTTATAAGCGTGCGCCCGGACCGCACTGTAATGTAAATGTAGTATTTTATAAAGCTTAACTCAATATGGGTTCGTAAATACAACTTGAAAGGTTAATGATAATGATATCATAACGATAATTATTATTTATACGAGTAAGCCTAAGGCTACGTTCAGAGAACGGGCATTGAGCGTGTAGTTTGTAAAAGCCCGATAAGAAAATACACAAATTTTGTTCAAGTGGCCTACGCGGTAGTCACGCCATGTCCACGGGATCGCCGCCTTTCATATAATGTTATTGGCGATTTTGGATTCTATTTACTTAAAAAACAACAATTAAATTCGTATTAATTAGTGTAATGCGCGGATATAAAGGCTTGGTAGAAGGTAGCGCGGTAGCTGCAACGGTCTTCAAGCTGCGCAAAACATGCTAAACGAGCTAAAGTGGGTTACGCACATCTCCAATGATATTATTATTCTGAATGCTTTATTAAGTAGTTGATAATTTTTGCGCATGTAATGGATTTGGTTAGTCTTTATTAATTAACAAAATCTGCAATGTTTCATTAGAATTATATTGAATTCTTAATTTTTTATTGTGCCAAAATAAAGCTTATGTCAGCTTTACCAGACCAAGACCATTATTGCTAATTGTGCATCGGCATGATACATTTGAACCCGAAAATATATTGTTTTCCACATTACTTAATTTTCCAAAACTAGGAGTGGTATTTTTTCTTCACGTTTGAATAGAACTAAAGGAAAATATCCCCTTCCAAAAAAAAACAATTTTCGTAATCGATGTACAAATGAAAGAGTTTTGAAGTAATAAACATGAAAATAATTGCGCAAAAATATATTTTTTTGTCTAAATGTTTTGTAATATCTTTTATGCACATATCTCTGTAACCCAACACAAACACCTAACAAATATCTGGAAAGAAAGATACAAGGTCAATACATATAAAAGAGTTATCCTCTAATTCCTAAAGGTCAAGGTCCATTCTATCATCAGCTCAGCCACCTGACATATCGACTAATAAACGCAAATACCTATATAGCCAGACAAACAAGCTAAAACACGTTGTCTGTCTCTGTAAAATTTGAAGGTTTCCCTCGATTTTTCTAGGATCCCATCATCAAATCCTGATTTGTTGGTAATGGACCACCTCGTTAGCATACCCTTTCGATTACAAAAACAACTTTTAAAACCGGTCCACAATTGACGGAGATATCGCGAAACAAACACAAAAAAAATACAGACGAATTGATAACTCCTTTTTTGTGTTTTGGAAGTCGGTTAAAAGTTGAAAATAATTCGTAACAAAAGTGGAGAGAGGCTCGTGGCTAAGTGGTTACCGAGTAGGTTTATCTAAAAGCTTTAAATTGATTAATTTAATTGTAACTGTGTTGTATTTACACTTCAACCCTAATTGCAGAATAAATAACTAAATAATCCGGTTTTGTTTTATTTACATAGATAAGTTCAGACAACTTTTATTGGCGGTACGAAGTTCGCCGGGTCAGCTAGTACTAAATAAACAAATTATGAAATACAACAATTAACCATCGTAGCAATCAATGCCTACTTAATGAGTTAATATACACATTATATTCTCATCAATAAATCAATTCCGCTTTTTTTCTGTATTCTGGGTCACTTTTGGTTATTTTGTGTCATTTCGGGCGTTATAAATCAATATCAGTAGGTACATGTGTAATCCCATAACAACACGAGTGGTGTCACCAGCACTATATCGAGGAATACTGGGTAAGTTTCTTGCTTTTCCATGTCATTATGAAATCACAAAATTCCTTTAAGAACCCGCTCTATGGATACTTCTCTATGCACGTAAAGTAGTCTTAAAAAAGGAATCGCAAAAACCTTAAAGATGGAAAAAGCCTCTGGAACTAAAACTCTTTTCAGTCAGGCGTTTTAAAATATAAAATTAAAAAATCTGTTGACCTGAAACGAAAAAATTTTTATTAAAATACGAATCAAGAAATATTTTGTTCCATAATGGTTCCATAATGAAAGGTACGGCCGTGGGCTCTTGCTTATGCCTTGCGTTGCCTTTGGGTAATATCTACCACATGCGACCACGGCTTTACGTTGAGGTGTTTATATTTTAACGTAAAATTTTTCGTGTGATGCGGATACAAACATACAGACATGGATATAAAACTGCTACCAAAGATATACAGTATTTTTTGCGTGATGCGCGTATAAATATACAGATAGGCAGGCAGAGAAATAAATATTCTAAAATGTATAAAATGTTTTTGGTTTCTATAGCACTTAAAATTATATTTATTTATTTATTATAAACAATTAACAGACGAAATCTCAACACATAGAAAAAATTTAGTTTTTAATTCCTACCCATAAATACTTCCGATATAAATAACGATAATCGCCCTCAGTTTAATGTCGACAAACTGATACTGGCTTAGTATCCGTTTGTCGACATTGGACTGAGGATCCTAGAAATATAAATCATTAAAAGGCAAATTTATTTGTAAATCGAACACAAAAGGCCACACAATAAACACTGCTATCATTTCCCCTTCGTTCGTCTGCTACCATGGAGCTTTAACGTGAACATTTACGTTCTATGATATATGACGACTGTAAATGTGGTGATCTGAAGGTTTAAGCTTAGAACGTTTAAAATCAGCTTTAAATAAGTCTTCTCCTTTTCTTGCAACCGTTTTTAGATGGTTAACGAATTAAAAGAGGGAAAATTAGCCTTGAAGAAGCCAGTCACTACTGAAAACGTGTGGACCACTGAAATGCTTGTGCGAGATGACCCACGAATTACACAGAGTGACATAGAGAAGATCTTAGACATCAGTTGGGTTCACACGATATTACATGAACATCTTAGAATGAGGAAGCTTTGTTTTCGGAGAGTAAACGAGGTATCCAACGACAATGGAAAAAGAAGCCTGTGTGGAATGGTGCCATGAGATGCGTCTACGTTTTGAAAATGGGAGGTCAAGACGTGTTTCTACCAGTAACTGGGGAGCCAGGTGTGCCATAGAAAGGGAATTCCTGGTACCCCGGGTCATCTACGGCTTGTAGATGAACCCCTCGTGTGTGGGAACCACGATGATTCCTTTCAACTTCTTAAAGGGACACGCGCACTACGCAGCTTGTCACGCCGTCACCCCGGCCTGATTCTGCTAGGGTTCCAGATAATAATAATAATATTTCGGACATCTGACACACAGCGCATCAATCATCATAACATCACCATTTAATAGTCCACTGCTGGACATGGGCCTCTCCTTAGAAACGAGGTTTTGACCTACTATGGCCAGACGGGTTTGTATCAAGTTTACCTTCTCTTTGCAGTGCTGTTGTTCTACGTAGTTTGCTCCCTTAAATACATAAATAAATAAAGTAAAAAGTGAAAACCGTGCCCGAGTGACAAAATCAAGACGGTATCATTTCTCTCTAACCATCACTACACATACAAACACACAAACACACGCGACCACGCTCCCACACGCAATACGCGCGCTAACAGACGCACACACGCGCGAGCGCGCGCTAACCGACGCACAAATTCACACTAGTGCAAGTCACATAATATGTAGTTGCATTATATTTTACACACGACACAAATACAAACCCCATAACGTCTGTTTGATTGTAAATAATAATTAAGTTGGCTTGCTCTGTTTTGTAATTAAACCACTCTCTTTTCTATTTTTTGTTGACATGACTGTATACGAGTATAACATGTAACAAGGTGAAGTCACTGGGTCCTATTATACAGTTCACACTAGTTTAGGAGCCAGCGTATTTATACTATTTGTAACACTTTTATGTCAATAAATAAATAGTTCATTTCAAATGCAAGTCGTAAGTAAGTAAATACACTATGTCTTCTACATTTGGGTACGTCAGCTTTAGATACTTGTTAGGTACTCATGAAAATATGAGAGCATTGTACATTTTTTTTAGACTAAAATGCGATAATTTTAGCTAAAGTAGCGGTTTAAATATATCCGTAGCCCTATACCTTTTTTTTAAAGACAACTCTCGGACTTTACAAACGGACACAAAGAACACCAAGACACAGAATAACAATTTGTGGATCACACAAAGTGTCGTCCCATGTGGGATTTGAACGAACAACACTCGGCGTTGAGCGGCGTGGCGACCGCTTAAACCACTACGCCATCCATGCAGTCAAATAAGGATTACTTGTTTTGTAAATCACATAGCTTTTAACATAATATAATTCTACAATAATAATTTGAAACATAATTTAACTTAAACACTACATCTATTAACAACACTTATTTATATATCTTATCGGAAATAGCTCAGGGTCACAGTTACAGATACATAACGGTTAATTTGTAACTTATATATTCTAGTAGATTTATCTCTTTTGTAACATTAGGTAACTTACCATGTTTGCCTAATCATATATCTACAAGATTTAAACATACAGACAGATACTTTTTTTGTAGCTGCTGGGAGAGTTCGTCTTAAATGTTATGGTAAATAATGTGGCAAACAATCGGTATGTTCCTAAATACTTGAGCGAAATTGGATATGGACTTTTTGTAAATAAGGATTCTCCACTGGATTCGTGGTAGTAAATTATGATTATTATCTAAATTGAAGAAATAGCACGAAATAATATATGATACTAGGAATATATATGGCTGAAAGAGAGAACAGAGAGTTCCAGCCAGAATCCTCGCAGGCTATTTCTAAAAAATACAATTCATTTGGGTAATTATTGCTCTGTAAAGTATTATTTACCCTATAACTCTTTTGATTTTGCAGATGAACAAGAAGTTGGTTATTTATGTAATTAACTGTCGAAATAAAACAAGAATGTAATATGTGCAGTAAAAAAATATCGTTCGTGGAAGAGACGAGTACGCTCAGATGATTGATGAAACCGTGATTATAGAATTATAATTTGTATGGGAATATGGAGGGACGAGTAGGGGAGTG